CAGCTGTTGGAGCAGGAACGCATGGGAGTTGCTGGAGACTGGATGCAACCATCTGGTGAAGGAGAGCAGATGGAAATAAATCTCTCCGAAGAAGCTGCTTCGGAGGTTGGGGAGGCTGCAGAGGGTGAGTCGTCCGACGCTGATCTCTCATTATATGAGTCCTCACCAGACGCGGAGGGGGAGCAAGAGGGTGCATCCCCGGACTTGGAAGACTCGGAGTCTGACTCTAAGGAGTCGTACTATGACACAGAAGTCCCCAAAGAGTGATGAATATGTACAACAAGAAATATGTATATTAGATGTATAAAACCGATCTCCAATACCTAATACCTTCAGACTTATTTTACTCTTACTTCTTTCCTCTATTGTGCGTATCTTTCGGCTTGCATTCACATTTTGATGCAATATGTTTGAAGATCTCCGACATTTACTATATTATATTGTCCCCATAAATTGATGAAGTCGCACTTGACTGTTTTCCAGCTGCTAATAAAAGTGCATACCGGCTTATCTTATCGGTGGCAACTTCGGCTGCACTAATTTTCCGCCTTCAAGATCCCGAACCGCGAGGGAAGAGCTACAGAGTAGCAGTGTTTTGCGCGCTCGCCAATTTAAACGTCACTTCTCCAGCTTTGCTGGCTCTATCTTTTATCTGGTCGGATATCTTTTGTCCCACCGCCCATCATGGATGACCTCGAGTCTCTGGAGCTGTTCTCGCTCGTCTCGCGCGTGACGAACGAGTTCGAGAATCACCTGGGAATCGCCGACAAGACCCTCGCAGAGTTCGTGATCGATCAGCACCTCAAATGCAACGGCAAGTTTTCCGATTTCAAGAAATTTTTTGACGACATGGGCGGCGAATTCCCCCAAAGTCTCTTGGAGAGTGTCGACCGCATGGTGCTCACGATGCACCCCAAGTACAAGGGAAAGAAAGCAGAGAATGACAAGGGAACTTCTGATGCCAACGACGATATGGCTTTGCTTGATGCTTTAGAGCAAAAGTCTCGCGTGTTCAAAGGCCTTGCGGTCCCCGATACGGAGAAGCGCTGGGCGGAAGAAGACTACACAGATCGCCAAGCGGCAGACGAGGCCGACGCACAAGCAGGTGCGATGGACGACACTTTCGCCATGCTTGAGGGCTTGGCAGGAAAACCGAAGGAGAACAAACCACATACATCGAGAAACGACCGTGGAACGAGGAAGCGGAGCCGGAGCCCCGAGCACAACGATTACGACCGTGGACGGCGCAGAGACAAATACCGCTCGCGATCAAGGTCTCGAAGTGCCCAGCGTTATAGCAAAAATGATGACCTCGTGGACGAGTTCGGCAGATCAATTGGAAAATACAACAACCGGGAAGACAGCCGTCGCAATGGCCATGGTGACCGTCGGAGACACCGTGATCGTGACGAGGATGATGATTTCCGCCGTCCTCCACCTGTCGAGCTAGATGACCACCCCGTTCTGTTTAAGATCTATGATGGAACTGTCACGGGTGTGAAGGATTTTGGTGCTTTTGTGAATCTAAAGGGCGTCAAGGGGAAGGTGGATGGTCTTGTTCACGTTTCAGCAATGCAAGAAGGGGCGCGAGTCAATCACCCCTCAGATTTGGTTTCGCGCGGACAACCAGTCAAAGTCAAAGTCGCTAGTATCGAAGGTACTCGCATCGGACTGTCCATGAAGGAGGTGGATCAAGCGACAGGCATGGATCTGGTTCCCCAGAAGCGCCTTGCTTCTGGTGCCAATATGGAACGTCTCGATGGTGCATTCGCAGATGATAGGTATGGCAGCCTCGGCTCCGATGTGCCCGTTATTGAAGGATCCGGAGGTCGGCCAATGAGGAACCGAAAGCGCATGACTTCGCCAGAGCGGTGGGAGATCAGACAATTGATTGCCTCCGGTGTAGCCTCTGCAGCAGACTATCCCGATATCGACGAGGAATATAACGCAACGCTCACCGGCGAAGGCACTTTTGAAGAGGAGGAAGATATCGACATTGAGGTCAAAGACGAGGAGCCTCCTTTCTTGGCTGGCCAGACGAAACAATCCCTCGAGCTTTCTCCTATTCGTGTTGTCAAGGCTCCCGATGGTTCAATGAACCGTTCTGCAATGGCAGGCACCAACCTTGCTAAGGAGAGACGCGAGCTGAAGCAGCAGGAAGCACAGGACAAGGCGGCCGAAAAGGCGGCGAATGTTGATCTAAATGCTCAATGGCAGGATCCCATGGTTGCACCAGAAGAGCGAAAGTTTGCCGCTGATCTTCGGAGTGCGCAGCAGCCCAAGCAGGACGAAGCTGTCCCAGAGTGGAAGAGAGTGACGATGGGCAAGAACACGTCCTTTGGAAAGCGGACGACTATGTCCATGAAGCAACAACGCGAGTCTCTGCCCGTCTACAAGTTCCGGAAGCAATTGCTGGATGCAGTGAAGGACAATCAAATGATGATTGTCGTCGGAGATACGGGCTCTGGAAAGACCACGCAGTTGACGCAATACCTGGCCGAGGGTGGATATGGAAACAATGGAATCATTGGTTGCACCCAGCCTCGCCGTGTTGCTGCCATGTCGGTGGCTAAACGTGTGGCTGAGGAAGTTGGCTGCAAGCTTGGAGCAGAGGTTGGATATACCATCCGTTTCGAGGATTGTACCAGCCCAGACACCAAGATCAAGTACATGACCGATGGAATGCTTCAGAGAGAAATTCTTCTGGATCCAGACCTCAAGAGATACTCCGTTATCATGCTTGACGAAGCGCACGAGCGGACAATCGCAACTGATATCCTCTTCGGATTGTTGAAAAAGACAGTCAAACGACGACCCGACCTCAGATTGATCATCACCTCCGCCACACTTGACGCTGAAAAGTTCTCCGAATATTTCCACGGTTGCCCCATTTTCTCCATTCCCGGCCGAACTTTCCCTGTCGAAGTCATGTACTCTAAAGAGCCCGAATCCGATTATCTGGATGCTGCACTTATCACTGTCATGCAAATTCATTTGACAGAACCGCAAGGTGACATTCTGGTGTTCTTAACGGGACAAGAAGAGATTGATACAGCATGTGAGATCTTATTCGAGCGAATGAAAGCTTTGGGGCCTACTGTCCCTGAGCTGGTCATCCTACCTGTCTATTCTGCACTACCCAGCGAGATGCAGAGTAGGATTTTCGATCCGGCACCTCCAGGCGGACGTAAAGTCGTCATTGCAACGAATATTGCAGAGACCTCCATCACAATTGATCAGATTTACTACGTCATTGATCCCGGTTTCGTGAAGCAGAACGCCTACGATCCGAAGCTCGGTATGGATTCTCTTGTGGTGACCCCAATTTCTCAAGCGCAAGCCAAGCAAAGAGCCGGCCGTGCCGGAAGAACAGGGCCTGGAAAATGTTTCCGATTGTATACGGAGGCTGCCTATCAGTCTGAAATGCTTCCAACAACCATTCCCGAAATTCAGCGTCAGAACCTCTCACACACCATTCTCATGCTCAAGGCAATGGGTATCAACGACCTTCTCCACTTCGATTTCATGGACCCACCGCCTACCAACACCATGTTGACAGCACTTGAAGAACTATATGCCTTGTCGGCGCTTGACGATGAAGGTCTTTTGACTCGCCTCGGACGAAAGATGGCTGATTTCCCCATGGAGCCTGCGCTTGCCAAGGTGCTCATTGCATCTGTGGATGCAGGCTGCTCCGATGAAATGCTTAGCATTGTCGCCATGCTGTCCATCCAGTCTGTCTTCTACCGCCCGAAAGAAAAGCAGCAACAAGCAGACCAGAAGAAGTCGAAATTCCACGATCCGCACGGCGATCATCTGACCCTCCTCAATGTATACAATGGGTGGAAGAACGCAGGCTTTAACAACTCCTGGTGTTTCGAGAACTTCATCCAAGCACGACAGATCAAGCGCGCCCAAGATGTGCGCCAGCAGCTGATGGGTATCATGAACCGCTACAAGCACCGCATTGTCTCTTGCGGCCGGGATACCATGAAAGTGCGACAGTCCCTGTGTACCGGCTTCTTCCGCAACGCAGCGCGCAAAGACCCCCAGGAGGGATACAAGACCCTGGTGGAAGGAACGCCCGTGTACATGCACCCCAGTTCCGCAATGTTCGGTAAACCGGCCGAGCACGTTATCTACCACACCTTGGTCCTCACGACTAAGGAGTACATGCACTGTACTACTGCCATTGAGCCGAAATGGCTCGTGGAGGCGGCGCCAACTTTCTTCAAGGTTGCACCTACGGATCGATTGTCGAAGCGTAAGAAGGCGGAACGCATCCAACCTCTGCACAACCGCTTTGCTGGCGAAGACGATTGGCGTATCTCTGCCCAGCGGCGGCAGGGCAGAGGTGGCGGTGGTGGAACTTGGGGTTGATTTTTCTTGTCTTTCCAATATACCAGGCATGGTTGCAATCATGAGTTTTTTTTTTCTTGTGTCTTATATCTCTTTACCGTTGTGCTTTTGCATGAATCATTTAGCTTAAAATATGGGAGTTGCTTGTTTTGGATCTAGTTTTTGTATGATATCTAGATGGGAATGTTATTGGTTCTTCCATTCACCACCAAGCATTCTAAATGATACTGGCATCCTGCTAGCAAAAAGCCCTTGTCGTAAATAAACTAAACCTTCCTAAGTAGTGCAGAGTATATATAATCGACCATCTCACTATAAATATACAAAAACTTCTTATCAGGCCGGGGTACATGTTGCTTTGATCCCTTCCTAAGTCAACCAGAGCTAATGTAGGATAGTTTGTTTTACGGGGAGGTGGAATGGTAGCCATCAAAATGCAGTGGAATTAGACCACGAGGGAGATTGACACTCGGGAAATGCGTCCTGGTAGATGAGGGCCATCGCAATCCATCTGGTCATGTCAGTAGGTTCCACAGAGTAGCAAGCATGCCAAATGGTTTTCTAGCTTACAGGTTCTTCGTTTGCGTGTAGTGCCAGCAATGCCAGAAGTGGAGGGTTTGGTCTTCTTGGTATTACTCGCGTCAATCATAACCTATGACTTTTGTAATTTCGCGAAGCTGGTGAGCGAGAGTCTTTTTGCGGTGGACGTCCATTGTGTCAATCTTGCGCTGAGTGTCTTCCTTGAGAGTCTTAATCTGGGAGGTCTTTTCCATCATTTTTAAGCACAACTCAATCTGTTTATGAGGAGCCGCGCTATTCAGCTCGGTATTGAGGGCTGCGATATCCTTCATGAGGTCCTTCAACTCAGCCATTTGGCTTTTGATGACATCTCTAGTGTGATCCATGACTGGAAGAGTGAAGTGATAGGTAAATCAATGGGTTTGATGGGAGGATATCTAGAAGAAGTAGAAGAAGGTGAAGCGGCAAAGAAGTTGGGATGGAAAGGAAGGGATCTAAGAATCAGATGGTGTAAATAGCCCATTGAAGCCCTTTGCTAGGTGTCAGGATGGGTTAAAATGTGAGAGTTGAAAATATAAATATAGGGCCATCATTACCAAATATTATGTTGTATATATTGAAAAGTGCTTCTTATGGCGTTCATACATATACAACAGACATTTGGAAAGTCATTTTAAAAAGATATCTACAATGACATCTGAAAAGACAGTATAAGGCCGTATAAGCAGCCAACCATTTAATTGATTCTTCATGATTATACACTATAGTAATTCTAAAGGGTTAAACCCGTACACGCCCCAAAAGCTAATTGTCCGAGAGTCATATGGCATACTCCGTAGAATCTGATAATGATCAGCATTAGACACAACAATACAGAGACTGTTAGCTTGTTAACACTGCAGGACCCCGATAAGCCCGTTGTATGTATCCGGGCCATTCATATCGCCGTCAATAGAGTATTAAGTGCCATTCCCATACAGGGATGTTGCTGACAGGCTGTCTAAGCCATCATTTCGAGGATATCGTGTAAAGGACGGACAGAAATGGACCAGATATGTACAAAAGTGAAGGATGGAGATGATGTCTCCACTTATCGGAGGCTAATAGCACACCGCCCTGGTATTCATCGGGCAGAAGGAGGCGGTGTATCCACACTTTTGTACCGGGCGGGGAGCCCTCGACCAATCAACGAGCTGGAAATGTCGATGGTATCGGAACATCGATAAAAAAAAAAATAAGTTACAACACCAACCCATCAAATCATGTCGCACATCACAGAGCATCCCTCTCGGGCGAAGAGAAGAAAGCTCGATGATCCTAAGCCAGAGAAACTGACCGTCACATCCAATATCAAGTCTGCTGCTTCATTGCGTGGACTGTTGGCTGTCCAGCAAAATGCCCCGTTGGCAAAGCAAGGTGAGGCAGATCGCAAGCCACCCAAAGCTACACCAAACCTGACTAGAAGATAGGTATAATCAAGTTTAAAGAGTTTCTGCTGTCAATTGCACAGACAGAAAAAGAGAGCGAAAAAGCAGAGAAATTGCGTGTCCTCAAGGAGTATTGCGATAAGCAAATCACCAACTCCGGGAAGGAGGATGAAACCTCAGTGTGCTTTGCAGACATCATCCAATCTTGGTCATTTGGCGATAGCAATAACAATGAGCCTTTATTGACTAGTGTCCCTTCTGTTCTTGCGATCTTCCTTAAGACGATTTCGTCGGAACTGGAGTTCCGGGAATTCGGAATCGCGCTTTGCAAGCATCTGCTGCAGAAAGATCAGCTGAGATTGTTCAACCGCGGTCTGACAGCAACCAAGTCTAAAGAACACTTGATCTCACCATGTCTCCGTTTGCTTACGGAGATCGTGACTTTGACGGCGGAGCAGTGGCACGACAGCTGTACCTTCGCCGGTACATTACCTTTAAGCGACTGGAGGTCTTCTTGACCCCCAACAAAGCACAGGAGATCTCAGAGGATGAGTCCAACAAGTCGACCCTCAGACGCAACGCTCAGCGATACCTGCTAGCGAACCTGAGAGTTCAGCATGCCTCTGAGAAGAATGATATCATTGAACAGCACAAGATCACCAGGTCTTTCCTCGAATACATCCGAAAAGATCCGCGGGACACTGTACTAGAAATTATCAAGGCTATCGAGAGAGACGTGGTACAAGACTCCGCTCTGTCTCGCAAATCGAAGAGCAAGTTTTTCAACAGACACAATCTCGAACGACTGGTCACGCTGTATGGCTATGATCGCGAGTCAGACGAACCTAATGCTGGAGGTGTTATCATCGCCAATGAGATCCACCGAGTCATGATGAATGTGTGCAAAACTGCCGGACTCGGCGTTCTCCTCCCCGAGACCGGCTGGTATCCCGTCGGAACCGACCCAGAGACCTTAGCTGTTGATGATGATGCATGCATTGAATTGGGCCTGGATTCCCCTATATACGTCGACAAATACCGGGATTCTGTCCCCGTGCGCAATGGCTCCCTTTCATTCCTTATTCAGTGCCTTCGGCCTGATGTGGATAGTCTGCAGATTGAACTGCTGGTATCAATCTTCAGAGTGGCACCGGAGCTCGTTGCCGATTACTTCTCGAGGAAAACTATGTTTATTTCAGACCCCAAGGCCACCCCTTCGTGGATGGCCGAGTCCGCTTTCCTTTTCTCAACTGTGCAGTTACCTGTACCTGCAAACTGTGGCTGGAAGGATAAGCAGCCTATCCTGCCACCGCCGGTTTCTATCGTTATTGAAAATATTCTCCCTCGCCCCCTCGGTCAGAAGATTATGACCCGCTGCCTCAACCAGAATGCAGAGATTATCACCCTGTTCGCTGTGCGAATTCTGACTCTCGCATTCACTAAACTGCGGGCTGTCCTCAAAATCTTCCAGGCGGATCACGGCCAAGGCCAGCTATTCTGGAACCAGGCTTCTGCCAAGTTGCTGGCAGAGTTCTCTCGCCGGTGCCCCGCTGTCAAGGATGTCGTTGTTCTCTTCCGACGAACAGAAAAGGATGACCTGACCCAGCAAGAAGCGGTTGCTGAACTTCTAACCTGTTACTATGAAGTGATGCCAGACATTGCTCTGGAGGAAAACTTTGACGTCTCACTAGTCTTGGTTGATGTTCTCAAGCGCCTGGAAGCCCCAGACGTTAGCGCAGATGATTCCGAATCGCTTTTGAGCCAACTTCAGAGCATCCTCCAGATCGCACAACAGTCTGCTTCATTGCGTTGGTGGCAAAAGCCGGCATCCATGCAGTATTCACCCTTCACCTCGATCCTCAAGGTTCTCATGGACACCTCAGACAAGGACTCTTCGCGCCGTATCTCTACCCTGCTCAAGACTGTTCTGGTTGATAACTCTGTTCTGCAAAGCTCCCCACACGCATTTGCCTCTGTCTTGTCCAGCCTTGAGAATTCCGAGGCTGATGCTTTGCACCAACAACTGGTCTTCTTTGACAACTGTGTCTCACGTGTCGCTAAGAAGCCCGTTCACTACTTGGATTTGCTACAGTCATTATCCGAGGATGCGTCTAGAACTACTAGCGCGCTTGTTGCTGCCATTGTTGAGCAATGGCCATTTGTCGTCAAGAGCGGTGATGCATCCATGGAGGCTGCCGTTGGAGCCTGGGTCGCAAGTCTTCTGGGTAATCTGAAGCAGGCGGGCGAGAGCACCAAGGTGCTCAAAGCTGCTCGGGATGCGTTGGTTGAAGCAACCGAGACTAAGAAAATCAAGTCTCTTCTTAAGAAGTCCCTGAAGGAGGCAGATAATGTCGATGATGAGGACAAGATGGACATTGACTCTGGCTCTAATGTGCCTAGTTCATCCAACAAAGCCTCTACCGTTGACCTCGATGAGATCTTTGGATCTCTGCCCACCGAAGGCACAACCCACAATGCCCTGAATAAATGGGAAAGAGAGGACATTGCAGAAGCAGTGGATCAGGGCCACGTCGCCGAGTTGATGCTATGCCTTTGTTCTCAGCACGAAGAAATCCGAAGACAGGCCTTCGCCAACATTATTCGCTTCATGGCCAAACTCAAGGAATCCACCTACGCTGAATGGCGCACGGTGTTTACTCTATCCGGTGAGCTCCTGGAGACAGTCAACAACATTGGCATGGAGAAGCCCGTTCCTTGGATCGTTGGCGAGTGCGCTGCAAACTGCCTAGAGGTTCTCACGGATCCCCTCCACAAGGTCTACGGCAAAGTCAACAAATTCCTGCAGAAGGCACCATCTTGGGAAGTCGAGAAGATCCCAACATACTGGGTTGACAAAATCCTCCTACACGAGCCTGAGTTGGATGACGGATATTTCGATGAGATCGACTGGCTTCTGAATCTGTTTATCAAGGCACTCCGAACCGAGGCTGTAAGTTTCTACCTTTTCAGTTTTATATTCCAAACCCACAATTGCTAACACATTGAATGTAGGATATGGAGGTTTACCGACGAGCCAATGTCTTCGAGCGCATTCTTTCCCTCTACCAGTCCCCAACCCTTGGCCCCGCAGCCCGACGAAAGATCCTGCACATCGTGTACCGCGCCGCCCAGGTCGGTGGCAGTACTACCCTGATCACGCGTTCTGGTGTCATCAGCTGGATCCAAATCCAAGCTGCAGAGGCTGGTCCCAAGGAGGTTGCTCAGCTTGCGGCACTTGCACGTGCTTTGTATGAGAAGTGTGATCGTGAGCGAGTCGATGGCTGGAGTAATGGGACTCTTGGACGGGTCGTTGATGAGATTCAGGCGCAAGTTTGAGGCATTGGGATTTGTACAATAGCAGATTGGATCATTGGCGTTCTTTCCTTTCTGGTCCTGTGTAGTTGGGTGAAATTAACTGTCACATATCCATCTATCTTCTACAATATACTATTACACATACCCAATCAGGGTGCTACTGGTTTTGAAGTCCAGGGTCATGATCTTCACATGATGTACTGCGATTGCGTATTTACCCATTGACTACGACTCCCCCATTCGGATGCAAGCTTTGGCCAGAGATAAAGCTACTATCCTGACTTGCAAGGAAGACGAAACATGTTGCAACCTCACTAGGCTGTCCCGGGCGGCCCATTGGTGTACCGCTGAACTGTTCCTTGGCGGAGGTAGTCATGGTTGCTGGGATTAAAGGGGTCCAGACTAGACATGTTCTTATTAGTTTTTATATATTTGTGTTCAGTTTCGGTCTGTTGAACTTACTTGGTCCAGGACACACACAGTTCACCCGGATTCCATTCTTGACTTGCTGGTTAGACAATCCCCTGGTAAAGGCAACGATGGCTCCTTTTGTGGATGTATAATCAAGCAGATCAGGGCGACCAATATAGTGGTTGACCGAAGCGCAGTTGATTATCGTGGAGCCGTTCTTCAAGTGAGGAATCGTGTACTTGGAGAGATAGAAGATGGGATGGATATTAGTGTCGAATGTGCTTTCCCATTGAGACCTATAGAAACGTGTTAATGTCGGATTCCAGCAGAAAAGAAACAAGAAGTAGAAGAAACGTACTCTTCCAAATCCTTGATATCGTCAATCATCGTTTGAGTCCCAGCATTATTGACGAGGATATCAATTCCACCCAAGCTCTTAAGGGCAGTATCAACCACCTTTTGGCAGTTCTTTTTATCCCTGATATCGGTTGCAAAGCAATGACAGCTTTGTCCGGTTTCTTCCACTCGTCGCTTGGTCTCCTGCGCATCTGTTTCCTCTTCGGGCAGATACGTGATGAGGCTAGATGCCCCTTCCATGGCAAATAGAATAGCAACTGCGCGACCGATTCCTGAATCACCACCAGTAATAATGGCCTTCTTCCCAGAAAGCTTTCCCGCAGCTTTATAGGTCTGGTACCCATTATCCTCAGTTGGGAGTTTGCTAGAGGTGGGCTTGGGATCTTCCATTTCAGCCTGTAAGCCAGGCTTTTTGTGATGCTCTATAGGAATTTGATGGCCTGTAGTAATTATTAACAAGAGCGAAATTACTATTTCATAAAATTTTAACTTACCCTGCTCAAATTGAGATTGAGGTCCCCGTGAGGGCTTTTCCACTTCCTGTTGCATAGTGATTTCGGACTGTTGTAGTAACAGAAATAAAATAGTATGAAGTTCAGTGAGAGATCCAAATAATATACTTATATATGCAGTTTAATATAAGATGTATATACATTACTTTTTGTAGGATCGATCGCGTCAGAATGACGCATATTCATTTCACAACCTGTTCATGTTCCCAAATCCTGCTTCAGCATCTTGATCTCTTGGCCCTCTTGATTTTGGATCCTAAATTATCCACATGTTTTCTCTTTTTTCCCTTTTCTACTTCTTCTTCTGTGTACTGTAGACACAGTGAAATTAGCCAAAAGTGGGCGCGTAAGGCCTAAACATCTCCGGATTAGTATAGTCCACGTCGCATACTTAATCGTTGAATTTTCGAGACCTACGTTCTCCATGCTCTAAATTTCTATCATATTGTTTTCTATGTTTAAATTCTTACAATTGAAACAAATCATATGTTACCAGAGTTCATATCCTACATTTTATGGCTCCTACTAATAAAAGGGCGATAAGACCGTCTAGGATTCTCGCACTGTTCATTACATGTACTTGTACGCGATATAAATATTTATATGTGTAATTCCTGAACACGAAACTGATTTACCGGCAATTCAAAAACCCCCAAAGCTTCTAAACCTGCGTGGAAGGGCTATATACACTCGTCTTTTGGACCCGCGCAGCGAACTGTCGCATCAGCCCTTGTAGAGAAAGACACTCCGATATTCCTATAGTTTCTGTTATGGTGTCAGTCAATTTGTCCACCACTTCAACCAATATGAAAATATATGCCTACCACCAATCGCTGTTATTGTCGGTTCGACTTTTCAGCAATCCGTTGAAACACCGCCGACGGCTCTAGGAACGTCTCTGCCCGATAGCACTTCACATGCCCGGCATCGTCCTTCCGGACAGAGAACACGGCAAAACCAGGAATGGTGATTTCATCGGTGTCTAGGCTGTCTCCTTTGACAAGATACCGGATGGTCGCGGCTTGATAGATACGAGGGGCGACATAGTCGAAGTAGCGAATATCGTGAACCATCATGTCTAGTTGGCCGAGGACGGTCTTGAACATCTGTCGCACCTCGCTGCCCTTGATCGCGGGGTTATTTGCATATTGCATCTCCATATCGTCGGTCATGAATTCGTCCAGCCACTGATCGGCGTTGAGGGTAGCACTCGCCCGGTGGAACTAATCGATATAAGTTGGTTGTCTTGCTTTGCTAGAAGAAATAGGCTTACCGCTTCTAGCCACTCCAACACGGCGGCGTTATCAAGCTCGGGGCCGGCTGACATTATGAGAATAAAACGAGGGTTTGGGTATGGGATATTTTGGAATGCAAAGTAAAATGGGCTTTTAAGGCTGGGGATTAATAGTTGATTGTACTAGGTTTATAGAAATATGTTATATCTTATATAGACTGAGCAAATAGGTTAGGAGCTGGGGAGTAATGGCGTCGGAGAAGAATGGATTCGGAGATGAATGGCTTCGGAGAGAAATAGCTCGGAGAGAAATGGCTCGGGAACGAAACGATATAGCTGAGACTAGACTAACGGTCTATATGAATAATTCTAGATATAGATATTTTAAATACAACTACATGCAATGATATTATTTTATCCTCGTATTGTTACACTTCCAAATTTACTCCCAAAGCTGATAATCTGGGAAATACTTCTCATGAATCCTCCGAGCATATTCCACCAGCGCCGGGTAACTGTTCACAATCTGCTTGGTTTCCGGAGCCCTTCCGAAAAGTCAGCATCCATCAACAGGTATGTGCCATAAGGCACAGCTTGGAAAAGTGCACTTACGCTCCACAGACCAAACCCGAGACCACAAAGCCAAACAACACAGCATCAGCCTCGGTGGGTGCATCGCCGCCCCACACCCAGAACGGCCCCTCCCGATCCCGATGCTGGGCATACGCAGCCGATACAAGCCCGTCAACAGATTCCCAGATTTCCCGTCGGAATGCAGCGATTTCCTCGCCTGAAAAGAGGCCGGTTCCTTGACCCTGCATGTTACGGACGTTCTTATTGTAGATTATGTTGCCGACAATCACCTGTACAGGCCAAGGTACACCGGCCAGGATCTTCGAGCGCATAGTGTAATAGTTTACCACCCACCGCTCGTGGCCCTGATAGAAATAGAGCTTATCCTCTAGTAGGGCCTTGAGGGAAAGATCCTGGGCTTTCTCTACGGGAGAGAGTCGGCGATTGAGATCTTCCAGATATCCAGACTCAATGAATGACTTTGCGATTAGGGTGGAGTCGGAGATCGATTGAGACTGCCCATCGCGCTCGAGTGTGATGTATGGTACCTTGCCCCTAGGGCCTTTTGGGGGTGAGCCTGTGTCGACGTTGTAGCTGATATCGCCAAAACGCAAGCGGGCCTCGAGCTTAGTGACAAATGGCGACCAGGTGTAGCAGCCTTTTTCGGGGAAGCCCCGGAAAATGGTGATGGTGGGGGCTGACTTGAGGGATGCGGCCATAATGAGCTAAGATGGATGGGTGATGAGGGTTGAGAGAGAACTGTGGTAGTATTGGACAGTCTACTATTTGAGAGTCTACTCTTGGATAGTGGAAGTAACAAGAAAGCGGGAATATAAAGAGCTAGAGGCAGAGGGAGACTTGGGAAATATACAACGGCTAGATGTAGCCGCATCGGAGCCTAAATAAAGAACATAAGCGCGATGGTCTAGAACCAATAAATATAGAACTAACTATACCTCTAGCGCAACGAATACGAATAATCTATAGGCGGTAACGGTAGTTTGGTGATGGAAATCTAGTCCTCGGTTTTTGGCAGCTACCGGGCCGAACCTCAGCACGGCCCGGCGTCTGCGGGTTTTGGCCCTGCGCCACTTTCACTTATTTTTTGGAAAGAGGAACCCCAGAAGAAAGGAAGGATACAATAGTATATTCTATTATATATTATAATATTGTAGAATATCGCAGGCATAAACTTTGACTGCCTAGACTAGCTCACGATTTTTCATTGGCTTATTTATAGGTTCCTAATTCTGTACAAAACATTTAGATTAGATCTATAACATTTGGTTTTTGTAACTAATCTTACCAGATGAATACTATTTAGATAATAAACTACACGTTCAACTATCTTCTGTGCGGATTAAATCAAGAGTTATAGTATTGACAATTAGAATAATAGAAATTTGCCATTGACACTTTCAGCATTGAATTCAAGTATAAAGAGCCTTCCCCCCCCATAACACAGGAACTCTACTCACACCCACTGTTTCTTTTTTACTCATCTCTATTATCATGAAATTTTTGTTGTTATTAAATTGTGGAACGTCTGGTGTTATATTGATGGTCATTATACATTTCATTTCACTTCAGTTCACCTTCACTTACTTTCACCTCATTCTGTTTTTACTCTGCTTTCACTTTGTCCCTTCTTCGGTCTCTGTTACTCTCTCTATTATGATAGCTTATGAGATTGCTAAACATTTGGGTCAAGGGCACCCGAGGGTAATTGCCTCATTACGCTCATCTGAACTTTAATCTTTCCTTCCCATCAGGTCCCCTATTCACCTACATCTCCTTTCACAGGCACAGCAAGATGTCTATTCTCGGATATTCTGGAATCCTGTTAGGTACACAGGCTACCTTCCATACGCCCTCACACCAGGCGTGGGCTCTCGAGGAGAAACTCACCGAGGATTTCCAAAGAATGACCAAGCGTGAACCTGAGTTGGGTGGTGGACCTTCCTTCGCCGTGTTCAAGTACCTCTGCCACAGTGCGACAGACAGTAACAAGAAGGCATAGGCATTCATGAGAATTTACTTTCAGATTCCCAACCCCGGAACAGAGTACCAGCAGCCCGAGCTTCTAAGACAGCAGGCTGCTCCACCTCGCGAGCATTTGGAGCTACAAGCGTTAAAGGATCTCAGAGAACAACACTGTGATGTGGTCCTAACACTCCTCGCCTACATAGAAGGAAAGCAGGGCAGTGATGGCCTCGTCCCAGATTGTTATATAACACATCTTGTGTGGGACATGGTCCCCGGGAAGCCACTTGATACGGGTCAGTTCTGGAGGACTGAATCGGCGCTGTTGCGTGAGGCTGTCCAGATGAAGTTCCGTGAGATCTGGGAGTATGTTCACAGAGCCCCTATTCACGCGTCGAGTGTGAAATTAACAAACCTAGGAGAGTTGAAACGTCATGGATGGCAACCAGGACTCCCTATTTTGCAGAAGATTATCTACGACGAGTCAACCGGGGATCTGTATGTGATATACGCCATAGAAAACCAAAATAGACTAATTATCTTTAGGCATATTGCAGGTTTCCGAGGCCCCGAGCGCTTCGATCCCGGCGAGAAATTTTCCGACCTGACCTTTGTCCTCTGGCGTTTAACTAGGCCACCTAGGAGGACCGGTTGGGAGAAAGACCCTACTAAGTGGGCCTGGTGATCAGCATGGATGTTTATTTCCCTTGCCTGAGCCAGACGCACTCTAATTCAATATTTGCTGCAATTACAGAAATAGAAGTTGAGATCATTCTACATATCCCCTGTTAATGGTTGAGTAGAGGAGATTCCCCCTCGGTTCATCCCGATTTAGAAATAGCGTGCCGCAGGCGATGTAACAGTTACGCCTAGAGGAAGGCGATATTAGTTCTCATGAAATGCTGAAGGTGAATCACCAAAGCGCGAGAATTGTCCTGATTCAGCGGTGATGCGACTCCAGGGCCGAGGCCCCGGGCTTAGTCCACCACGTCGGAATACCGCATCCCCGGGTTTTGGGAGGTTCAGCCCCATTGGTATTAACAATGAGATATTTAAGGGGTTGTAATAGAGTTGTTGTTTGAGAGAGCGGTCCTTATGCGGACTTTGCGGGACCCTTCTGCCGTATCATATTGGCGGGTTTTGGCGCAGCTGCTAAACCCGATATCCGGAATGTAGACAAATCCAGAATCTGTATTGTCGGTGTCTGACGCAATGATTCAATCCGAGCTTCCATCTTTTCTTTCAATCCGAGCTTCCAATCTTTTCTTTCACCGTATAAAGTCTGAAGCGACTCGAATTAAATATTTTGTGACAATTTACTAGGGAAGTTCTTACACCATCAACATGGATTCTGATATCTTAACAAAAGTCGTTGCAATTTCGTCATCCTTTTGGCTGTCAGGTATGTATCTCTCTATCTCTAATAAAGAAAGGGCAGTATACTGAACATGTCAATAACACAGGCGAAATATTCACCTACTCTTGGGGTGCAGTGCCTGCAGTCTTGGTCGCTACCCCAACCTCCCAGCATTTGGCTGCAAAGCAGTGGGCCGCATTTTACCACAAGGGTCACGCATTGGGACCACCTTTTGCCATCCTCGGAGCAGGGGGCTTTGTTTGGTTGGCTTTGAAGTCCCACTCCTTGTTGTACTGGGGAGCTGCAATCCTCAATGTTGGTATTGTGCCATGGACACTCCTCACCATGTTACCAACAAACACGAGCATATTCGAGGTTGCGAATAGGAAAGATTCGTCGGAAACCCCCGTGGGCGATGAAACACAATTGGCTCCCCTGCTGAACAGATGGGCGAGTCTCAATGCCATTCGCTCGTTTTTCCCGTTCGTGGGTGGTGTTTTGGGATTGCTAGCAGCCTTGCGCTAATCCCTATACTACCTATCCTACCTATGCCGGGTAGAACAACCGAGTCTTACCACAATCTGAGCGTGGAGTACTTTGGCTTAATGGTCTGTTGCTGCTTGCTATTTTATCCGACTGGCGTCTGCTTGCTTGCCACTCCGACACCGGCGTCGAGGTGTGCAACCTGCTGATGGGCCGGCGCCGGGGCGGTGCGACGTGGAAGGGCTGCGAGTCTCAGCGGTGGCACTGGCGTGGGGCTATCGGAATGTTTGACGGCGGAGTCACGGCGTATAAAAGTGCTTGACGAAGAGGAGGAGCCCCGTACGGAACTGAGGGCCACGAGTAGCCGGCGGAAGTTTAAGCGGAGGTCCAACTGTTCGAGATGCCAAGGTTGACGAGGCTGATGCAAATTGAGATTGAGGCTGTGAGAAAGTCATAGCAGTATCATACAAAGCCTAAATTTTCTGTTAGTTGTGCAGGTATCACTTTTTAGATACTGCAGGTATTTGTGGTAGTGTTAGATTTGGTCTGCCTTAACATTGTAGAAAATTCAATGAAAAGGAACTAGGAAATTGTATAAAACCCGGATGAAAGTAAATAATTCTTTGATAGACAAAGTAGCTACCATTATGGAGTAGATAGAGACCTGCAGTACCTTGAAATTGAGCTGCGGAAGGTCTTGGCAAGTGCTTATATAAGCTCAACCCCTCCGAAATCGTCAGGTCCCAACCGATTCGGAATATCTGCTGACTGCGCTTTGTGAGACGACCAGAACCTCGAACCGCTATTCACATCTGCGAAACCTTTGCACAGCTGACAAGATGCCCCCAAAACCAATATCCAGCGCTATCTCAAGCAGTCGCTCGACCACATCTTCCAGAACAACAAGAAATGGGTCTCGTCGAAGAAAGAGACAGATGCCACCTTTTTTGACAAGCTTTCTGCTGGACAATCGCCCGACTATCTGTAAGTAACATAGACATGACCTCGTCCTCGTCAAAATTGTTCATGTCGGGACACGTCTAACGACCACTCAGGTACATAGGTTGTAGCGATAGCCGTGTCCCTGCCAACGAGATCATGGGTCTGGAGGCGGGTGAGGTCTTCGTTCACCGTAATATCGCCAACCTAGTGCCCAATGTCGACCTCAATGTCATGTCCGTGATCAACTATGCTGTGCGACACTTGAAGGTCAAGCACATCATTGTGTGCGGCCACTACAACTGTGGCGGGGTCAAGGCGGCCTTGACACCTGCTGACCTGGGTCTCCTCAACCCATGGCTTCGAAACATCCGTGACGTTTATCGCTTGCACGAGAAGGAACTCGACGAGATCCCCGACGAGCACGCGAGATACAATCGTTTGATTGAACTCAACGTGATGGAATCCTGTCGGAATATCATCAAGACCGCGGCTGTCCAGCAGAGCTACCAAGAGAATGAGTACCCCATCGTTCACGGTTGGGTTTTCGATCTCGGCGACGGACTGCTGAAGGACCTCAAGGTTGACTTCGAGGCTGAGTTGGCGGATGTGCAGAAAATATACTGTCTGTCCTCGGGTTCCAGCTCGGAGCATTGAATGGTCGCGATCACAATTGCCGACTGCCAGTCACGACTTGGGCGTTCGGTTTGTTGTTGCTCGGCCTGCATCTTTCAGACTTCTCTTCCGATGTGATTCGCCCTATCTCCATGGAGGCGTGCATACGTTTTTGTGGGAGTGAGTGATCTGTCATAGTCAGCTTTTCCTGTTCATCGATCAGTTCTGCTTCTTGTTTCTTGTTCATGCCCCTCTGCGCGCAGTAGACACCAGGCATATCAATCATGCGGAATTGAAGAATCTCCATCCAGTTGTAGAAAAGGTAAATGGGAAAGAAAGCCATGGAATGAAATGGGCGGTTCATTGGCAGAGAGAAAGAGACAGGAAGGGTGTCTGAACAACTGTCCTAGTGGTTCTGCTCCCCGTCCGTCGCTCGATAGGCCTTCTGGGTCTCTGGATCATACAGGATCCCATGGACATGTAATCTTCCTAGTGTAATTGAACTGGTGACTTCGGGTAATTTGTGTGTAGTCTCGCAGGACAGGTCGCCATCAATGATCATATTGCGAAGGTTTCTGAGCACGAGCAGGTGGTGGGATATTCAGGACGGCATAGTCAAATCCATATAACCGAGGTTTCCTGTTAAAGAGTAGGTATATAGTTTCCAAGGTTGCCTTGAGAGGCTCGTCAGGATCTGAAGTCGCATTTCGCTCATGCTACCATTGAAGGGTAAGTAAGTAGTGTTGTGGGATGCTGCAGACCTCTGGGCGAGGTATCGCGGAGAACAAGAAATGTCAAGTTGCAAGGGGATTTCGGCAAAGAACTGTTCACTGGGTGCCTTGCCGATCGTTATCCCATTGGGTGCGTATGTGTCTCATGGCAGTCGAACTGCCGGGGCCGATGGTCGGTTCCGAGATATTACCGATTCGGCCGAAAGCTCCACGTTGGAGGCTAACCTTGGATTGTTGCAACCCGTTTCACAACCAAAATGGGAAATATCCCGACTTCCAGTTCACCTTTGGGAAGGCACAACCTGGAATGTACGGAGTACTCCTGACAGATTAAATATGTTTCAAGGTTGTAATTGGGCTGGACTCAATGGCACACTTAGCTACATACAATACGTAGTATGTAGTCACTTATGGATTTAAAGTTTGAGCTCCCGGGGTCCTTACGACCTTCCAAGATTGGCAAGGCTGGCAACCCCGCAGAGAGTCGGGGACTAAATTAGGTCATCCCATTTGCCGTGGGAATGATCACATGGTTTTGAGACAGTCCTTCAAGTTCCAGAACTCCTGGTCTTGAGGTTCGGGATATATTCCAATATATTCCTTTGGAAAAAATCCATTCATCTCGGATTCACCAAATATGTTCAATTAGCAAAATGAAAGCGAGCTAGATGATTTGCCGGCTATTCGGGTAGGGCACAATATCTTTTATCTAGTAACAAAATACTTCATTTCATCCAGTTCACCGCAGCTCCTCCCATTTGGAGCGCAGACCTTCTTATATGCAAGTGTATAATCGCTCGCGCAACCTCGTCTCTTCGCATTCACTCCGTTCCATGCAATTGGCCTGCACCTCTTGGCACCTTCGGGCGTATAGCGCCGCACCACGAGCCGCAGCGAAGGTTGGATATATTACGAGTTTGATATTGACAACGTCAGGCGAGCGTTTAGATATAGAATCTCCCAAGGTAGCTAGGGAGCGAGGGTGCGAGGGTGCGTTACGCTTTCGCCTGCTAAAAGGAGATGCGTAAGGGGATATTCAAATTCCCGCGGGAGAGGATCTGGAGTTGGGAACGAAGGTGGTCCCATAACGCGGCTTCCTTTTTCTCGAGAAGATGGTCTAGTCCAAGATCGTAATCTACGAGCTGGCCTCAACACGAGTAATCCGATTAAAAGCTTCGTTGGTGATACCTTCCACGATGCGAGTATATAAGAGATTGCGGTTAGAGGATACAAAAAGCACAGTAAGATCGGGTGACTGCAAATTCGTCATTGCAATGGGACAGATCCAGGTAATCAGTGCATAGTCCATAATCATTCGCCGCATAAACAGCATCTACTTCCACTATCCAATTTGCGTAATAAATACTACCACCTACCCATGTGCGCAAATCTAACATTCGAAGTGCAGCGTTAAGTGTCGCTGGTTTAAGCAATGGAAAGCCGGGATCCGTAGCCACGAATGGGCTGTGGGTTGGATTGGGCTTTGCGGAGAGCTGGGCGTGCAGGATTCCAGGGAATTCAGGTGAATGGGCTGAAGGGGTTAAAGAGTAGGGCAGCAAGAGGGACTTTTGAATGACCAAACAGTTCGACCTGGCAGTGACCGGGACATCAGGCCGGACTTTGGCGGTACTTGGCGCTATAGGTGTTCGAATCTTCCGGGAGGGTGGGGCCAAAAAAACATGATATTAAGCTTTAGCGTTGACCGTGGCATTGGATTCAACTGCCTCGTTTTCCCAATGCTAGAGCCTACAGGGTAGATGAGACCATGAAAACACACTGCATTGTGGTAGTTGTATGAAGATGTTATGGAGGAGAGGAGAGTACTAGACTACTACTATGGACGGTAAGGATCATGTGGCCGATGAGAGATATCAACACCCAACTTATCGATCTGCAGTGCACATCATTCCCTCGTTGACTCGGTCGCTAGCCAAGACTCTCAGCGAGTTTATAGTCAACTGGAGATTGAGAATGACCCTGGCTCAACGGGAGAGCCAGGTTGAGGCCTAATAGATACCGTCTAAGCAGCTCTAGTCAGACTCACAGGCGTAGCAAAGTCCACGCCGGCTTAGGTGGAAGGATGAGATATCCTACATTTCAAATAAGATAAAAAAATGGTACAAACAAATTGGGGCTGGTATCAGCCATGAAGCTAAATATCGGCGGTATATGCAATGCTCATTCCTCTAATTCCAGCTCCGGATATTGTGGGAGCTGCCAGGTTTCCTTCTCATCCTTCATCAGCACCTTAACTAGGCTATCTATCTTAAGCTTCGATAGAGTTGCCAGAGCAAAGTATGATATATTTAACCCGAGCTTGGAGCGAAAGATGGCGAGATTCATGGGGGGAAGTTGCTGAACTTTTTCCACGTAAGGTCGTAGCACTGTTTCATAAGATTCTAGCGCTGCGCCGACGTTGTCTCCATGTCTCGCGAGTTCGCCCGCAAGCACGTATGCTCCGACGAGTGATGCCGTGGTTCCAAGCCCAGTTAAAACACTCGGGCAGTATCCGGCATCGCCCAGCAGAACAACTCGCCCTTTGGACAATGTGTCCACTTTGACCTGAACAACCGAGGTCATGTAGAAGTCATCAGAAGTCCGCATCTCGGCAAGGACTCGTTTGCTTTCCCATCCAAAATCCTTATATAACGTTTCCCATAGGTCTTTCTGTTTCTCAACCGGCTGTCCAACCATCTCCTTTAACTTGTCTGTGGTGGATGCCGTAAGCATGGCTTGCGTAAAGTCCTTGTGCGCGCAGCGAAGCGACAGCACTTTGAGCCCAGGTAGAAGACAGCTTTTGAACAAGGTACTGTCGAACTCTTCCTCTGATTTTGGCATATGGAAGTATGCGACCGAGTAGCCCGTATATTTGAGCGTGGAATCGAAGTCCTTCTTTGGCTCCCATAGCATACGCCGCGTCAGGGAGTTCTGGCCATCCGCACCGACAACAAGATCGTAATCGTCCGAAGAGCCATCTGAGAATACGACGTTGACTTTGGAGTCAAGCTGTGTAAACTCAATCGCATGTTTTCCGAAAAGGTACCGCAGCCTCTGCGGCTCTTTTCCTGGGGTTTTTGTAGCGATCGCTTTGCTCCCTTCATATAACACCGCTACCAGGTCCGCCCTCATGATCTCATATTCGCTTGTCACACCTTTGTATCCTTCACCGGTTTCGTTGACGTTGAACCTCGCCCACTCTCTGCCTTTCGTGTCAACGAAAGTGAAAGCTGTCTCGTGTATACTCCTTGCTCGGACCGCATCGATCAGTCCCAGCCCCTTCATCAGCGGGGTACCATATGACTTCAAATCAAGCTGGGTTCCACCGGTACGGAACTTGGATGCTCTCTCGACTATAGTGATATCGTGACCTTGTTTGGACCGCACGAGGAAGTTGGCGAGGGCTGTGCCGGCGATGCCAGCACCGTTGATAAGAATTTTCAGAGGCATTGCGGAAGAGCAATGAGCAGGGGCGTTGGATGAGATAACGAATTTCTTCTCGTTTGAATATTTACTTATTTGAATCTTAATACTATCAATCATGAGACGCCTTACTGATGTGGTGCTCTTTATACACTCGTCAACGGACGTATGCGGCTGCGGAGCTAGCGACGGACGTAAGCCTCAGAGGTCGTAGAGCGGATGTAAGGAGAGCGGGCATAACAAAATCATATAATGACGGACGTAAGCCTCAGGGGTCTTAAAGCAGCTTTAGCAGAGCGGGTGTAACAAACCCACCTAGTAAGGGGCCTAGCCGGTCCTATATGCGCATAAGAAAACATGCAAAAATCAAAAATCCGAATGCCTTGCAGATCGACATCGTGACTGCCAGACGCCCATTAAGGTCGCCAGGCGCACCTACGGCACAAACCGTTTCTTCGCCTCAGCCAAATTTCTTACGGCCGAGAGCAGCGCCGCCTTTGTCCGCTTCTTCAAGTTCCAGCACACCACCAATGGAGAGACTTCGTCGGCACCGAAGACCGGCATTCTCGTGCCTGGGAGATCTGTGCTCACATGGCGTCTCCGTCGCGGTTCAGTGTGTGCACAAGGTCTTTCGAGATGCGCCCGTGACCTCCCCCGTCCAAAGCAGTACGCATAGTCGGACAAATGTCTCCTCGCCAGTTGATACCCCATCCTAGTGTACCCAAAGCCGAAAATGTCGCACACATAGAACCGTAAACGAAAAGGGCAGCGTGAGTTCCAGGCCTCTCGTCGCCAGAGCGGATATATCACAATCCACACCAGGCACTCGCGGGGCAAACAAAAGCCACTGCAGCTCAGATCCCACCAACCACCCGTGCCGAAGATGAGCAGCCAAGTAAACATGCTCTTCTACAACGAATACAGCATCTCGAGAATCGTCTGGCAACGAGTCCCGTACCTATGCACTCTGAGCCGGGAGGGACAGTGATAGGTCGCCAGCCGGTGCATCAAGGTACACGGGTCAGCCTTCACAAGACAAGGACCTTAAAATGGAGCTACTGGGTGAGTATGACTGAGACGATGCGGGCGTCACTTTCTCCTTTTTGGATGGAGTACCGGAAAATTTGCTTTGAGACTTTGACCTGGAATCCTTTTTGCCTGATCTGTGGCTTTCGTGGCCTAAATCTTCTGTTGGAGGCTGTTCATACGGTTGGGCCCCAAATGGAAGGTTGAATTGGGCATTCTAGATCTAGTATGAGCTGCCAAACAATGAACCCCTGATCTGACTAGCTTTTTTCCATGTTTACTGATGAAGCCATGGGACTGGCATCACGCAACGAAGCGGAGAATCAGTCTCCAGGGCGATACCTAGGCAGCAGCAAATTGACGTCCAGATTCGCACTTGTCCACGACTAGATGCCTTTAAGCCGACGCTAACATTGCTTGTTCCGAATAGCGCTCTGTGGGCAGGTTTGCATCCGTTTCGGTTTTCTTGTAGCAAAGCGAGGTTGGGCTAGAGTGACAGAGTATGGTTGTAGTGGTAAGGCGAGGCTAGAGAGATAGAAACTGATAGGAAAAGAAGGGTAGTTATAGCTTTTACTCATGATTAGAAATGTACCTTTTTGCTACACGGGCTGAAAATTTAGGTGATATCTGCGCTGAGTGCCATGAATAGAGCGGCGAGCCGCCCGCCCACGCCCGAACCGTGAGCGCTAGGCGACCACCAACTTAGACATGCTGTTGTATGTTTCTTTGGTCTATCATAGGTAGTATTAAGATGTAGATTGACCAAGTAGTTAGTTGTAGAAAATTTACTACGGGATGAGGTGGTACTGGGAGATAAATCTTTTCCAAGTATATATCAACTTTTTGACCATTAAACTACTTGATTTCACCAAGATCCTAGATAATATTTTAGGTTTCATTCCAGCCAATCTATTCAACGATTTTTCAACTTGAATACCGCTGGCTCATTATAATACCAGTTCGTATAAAAAAGTCCTCGCAATATGGCGCCCGCCATAATCAATCAATTCACCTACATAGTTAGTTAGCATTAAAAGAAGTTTATTGTTGCCCAAGCAAGGGGCAATCAAGATCATATTGAAGACTCATGAAAAAATCAGCAATTGCCACCTTCCGGTCCGAGGGAACACGTCCTCTTGAAATGGCCGCATACGGAACAGCGAGCACTAAGAAAGATAGGTTTCACTGTCTCGAGGGGCTCCAGGGATATATCAAGATGGGAGGTTACAGATTTTTATGTTCGTTATTGGGATAGATCTCCCCAAATTGTCGTGGATTATTTGTGAGTAGCCAGTGGTCTCACAATTTAAGGAATAAGCTTCACAACACACCATGAGAGCTAGCCATTGATATCAGCCCTGTATTTGCATCAGGTATCAGTTTCCAGAATCATTTTATCTAATAAAGACAATAATGACTCAATATTGCCACCAATTGGTTAAAGTTTCAAGTGGAACACCTATTCTCTCTTGCACGACTATTTGAAGAAACATAAACTGCGTCGCATAGCATAAACCAGGTTGATACATCAGGTACAGACTTCAATACACCTCTGCGTAGATGTCTTTCCATGGTGAAGTAAGCATTCATTATAAATAAAACACGCACTCCGTAGAAGTCAACTCCGTGAGATTGTTCCTCTTCGCATTGCACAAACGGACCACTCAACCCTTGCGTTCAGGATCACTCCCTAGCCTAGTCTTATTGTACTCCTCATCCGAGACGGCGTCAAGCCATGATGTTGCACCATGGGCAATAGCTTGGTGGATCAGATAGCTTCCATCACTCGCCCCATGCCAATGTGTTACTCCTGGAGGACACCAAGCAAGGTCTCCCACCATCAAACGCTGGGGTTTGCCTCCTTCATCGCAAATCCAGCCAGATCCTGCGACAACGCGTAACAGTTGACCGCCATGATGGGTATGCCAATTAGTTCGGGCACCTGGCAGAAATAAGACATCCGCAATTGTTGTTTCGTTATCTTCGTGAATCGTATCAATCCAGCCATGCCCTGTGAAATGTTCATCTCCAAGAGAAACATTACTGCCGCTCAATTGGGGAGTGTGGATGATGGTTGAGACAGGCTCAGACGAAGTGAGCTTATGCAGCAGAAAGATGAGGAGGAAAACAGGGCGCCACATATCGGTAATCGGATTATTGCATCAATTGGATAGGGTTTCTCGAGACAGAGAGGTTAAAAGATGAACACTGAAGACAGTAGGCTTATATATGCTTATATGTTCCTCAGAGTCGCTTGCTTCCGACAAGTTGCCTATAAGAGCCATTTCAACAAATAGCCAAGAACAGGCATACCCCTTTATTTCCCCTTCACCTTACAGGTACAGATCACACCATTTTGAGACAGAGGACGATCCTGAGGAATGCACGCTACTTACAGAGGGTCTGTGGGGATTTTGTAGGTGGAATTTTGGGTGTATTCTCGGGTTATCCCGCAAAATGGTACCAGGGTCTTGGTGGATATGGTGTTACAACATAGTTCAAGGTGACCCTGGTCACGAGTCATAATAATTGGCACCACTTAAAGCTTTTCGGCTGCCTGCGAGATTTACTATGAATGATGCCCCCCGTATGATCTTTTATGAATGAGCCATCCCGAAATGGTATCGCCAAGAATCCTGACGTGCTGAAAGATCCGTCAACCATGACTAGATCGATTGATGGATGGAAGATCGACGTTAGTGATCGGCAGTGTGGGGAATAATGTAAATTGATGACACCTAGAGCGTTATTGGTCTACCTAAGATGTTACCGAAATGGACGCGTGAACTGCTGTTCCCTCTTAGCCAAATTGGGCGGGTCACAATTATTATTTGAAAGCAGTCGCTAGTTGTAGGTAGCTAAAATGATTCCGTGGGATAGTTTGTAGTAGTATCAGGAACGATCAGCAGAATATGGGGTATCTCAATACCTCTGGGGTATGTAAAGAGTCGCATTGACAGTGACCGAACACTACTGCTCTGGTGGCATAAAACGGAGCATATTGGAAATTGGGTAGTTTAGAGAAATTAGTTTAAAACAAACCTATAAAAAAAAACCAGGGCTTGAAACAGGCAGGCAGATGGCGGCAATAATCGCGAATAATCGCGTGCCAAGGTTGTGTCGGTCATCGACCCTGGAGATAGGTAAACCCCACCAATCGGCAAGAAGAAATGTCATCAAGTTGCAGCTAACAGCCTAGTTCCCTTCGCCAGCCAATTACCAAACATATCATGACCCCACTGATCAACATTACATAGTGGAGAGAATTTAATCTGCACATTCACACTGATGTTCGGACACACAATGAATTCCACCTAATCTGCAATTATTCTAGAAACTGGCCAAGGAACATATACCATTGCCCATTGCCCCAGAGCGACATATGTGATATGCAGCTAAGAGGAAATCGGATCTGGAAGGACCACATTGTCCGAAATCACATATACCTGGATCGAGATTGAGGTCTTAGAACTTAGGAACTGCATCAAAGTCAAGTCCGAAACTCTGCAAGTGGTCAGGATGGCATGCTGATGTCTCCCCAAACGCCCCTGTCGATCTCGAACAACGTCGTTGCCTGATCATTTCCTAAGTTACCCACCCTATGGCAGCCCCCTCTCCCTCCTATACTAATTCCCCGTAGTCACTGCGAAAATATTCGAGCCTAGTTCTGGAGTCATGCGCCACACTTGCAATCCTTCAACGGGCGTACTTTCTTATCACTATATAAACACTATATAAAACACATCGTTTATTGTATGGAAGTGACGTTAGCTTCTAGAACATTGTAAATTACGTAGGCTAAGTATTTTTCATCATTTCTTGTTTCTTTTAACGTCAAAAAGTGAGTGCCAACGAGTATCTGGGTATTGGCAATGGGGCTGTGCACCTTGCTGTTTGCGTTGGGTGCTTGGCCTTTATTCTGATTGTTTGGCTTATAATGGTGCTGCTCTTGGCTAACTCGCATCCATGATTTCAGTCCCACACGCTCTTAAGTGATCTATGGTGTAAGAACCGCGGGGATCTGCCCACCTTTTCTGATTAGCTGATAGTTTGCATAGTACTGATTATTTCGTTCAGAAACTGCGGAATGTTCCTGCATATCGCACCACGGCTAGAACGGTTCGCATGTAAAGGTCGACATGGACCGTTAACCTGTCACCGTGAAATCACTTCCAAGACTCAAGAGTCAATTTGAACAGTCTTGACCTTCGGTATAGATTTGCCAAGCAACGGGATATAGTTCGAAATTCCCAAGTCTGACGACGGACTTGGCATCTTCCCCCGCGGCGGAACTGTTATGGGTTTGAAATTTAGCATCCGAAGTTTTTCCGAACCGGAATCTATTCCTGACCCGTGCTATGAAGCTGGCTGGATGAACCTGAATGACTGTTCCTGAGATAAGCGGGCAAACTAATTTAAATGCCACAGTATAAGAACTTATAAGGAGGACAAAGAAGCCTTGATAACTCCCACACGAACATCCCGAGGTTTTGCCTACCTATTCCAATCTGACTACTATTATCCAGTCTCATTTGCTGGTCGATCTCCATCATGAGATTCAAATCTTTGATTTTACAATTCTTATCGCTTTCAAGCTTGAGTCACAGTACCTCCATCCAGGCTCGGACTCAACCAGTCGCTACTATCACAAACGGTACGCTGATTGGAACTCGAAACTCGCATTATAAACAAGATTTCTTCCTCGGTATCCCGTACGCACAGCCACCAGTTGGAGATCTCAGATTCAACCAACCACAGACCATCAATCAATCGTGGTCTGAAAAACAAGCAACGGCCTATGGCCCTTGGTGTCACTCTCTCCCTTTAACTTTACCTGGTTATACACAGACAGGCTTTGAACATGAGGAGAGCGAAGATTGTCTAACCCTCAATGTCATACGACCGAGTGGAGTTAGTGACAATGCTTCTTTGCCTGTTCTAGTCTGGATCTACGGCGGTGGATTCTCAGAAGGAGGTAGTGCCGATCAAAGATACAACATGTCTTTCCTTATACAAGAATCTGTTAAAATGGGTCAACCTACAATTGGAGTTAGCTTCAATTACCGACTTTCTGGATTTGGATTCCTACAAGGCCGTGCGGTCAATGAGTCTGGTGCCGCAAATATTGGTCTCTATGACCAACGACTTGCTCTTCATTGGATCCAAGAGAACATCATGGCATTCGGTGGAGACCCGTCCAGAGTCACAATCCAAGGAGAATCGGCCGGTGCTGTATCAGTTGGACACCACTTCCTCGCATATGGAGGACGCGACGACGGGCTGTTTCATGCAGGTATTGCTGAAAGTGGCGGGCCTCTCACCACAAGAGCTTTGATCTCTCTGGATGAACAGGATGTCCTTTATAACCGTGTCCTCAACTCGACCAACTGCACAGGTGAAGATGATACACTCCAATGCCTTCGCTCCGTACCAGTAGACGCTCTGAAGGCTGCCTTTGAAGGTGTTGGCTTCTATCCCGTCATGGATGGCGGGATTATCACGAATACCCCCTCCATCGCTCTGAGGGATGGCCGCTTCGTGAAGCGTCCGCTTCTTATCGGAGCTAATACAAATGAAGGAGCTGCATTCTCGTACAGCAGAGGCCGTGGGCTGAACACTTCAGCCGACTTCCGCAATATGATTGTTCAGTATAGTGGGAACAAGGTTATCAAAAACAGTACTCTTGAATATCTTGTTGATCAATATCTCAACAGACTGTCCCCCAAAGTGGCCCAGGCTCAACTAGGGTCTGTTCTCTTATCTCCAAGTCCTGAATTTGGTCGTCTCTGGGGAAAAGTGACACTTTACGCGGGAGACTACCAGTTCAATGCTGGTAGACGTTATACCACGCAGAAATGGGCCCAATACGGCGTTCCTTCGTATAGCTATCGCTTTGATGCCGTGCCTAATGGTATACCACGTGAGACCATGGGGGCCACACACTTCCAGGAAGTTTCCTTCGTTTTCAAAAATTTTGATGGCGACGGGTATCAGGTCAATCCACTGGAATCAAACTCCACGGAACTTCAGCAGAGTTACCATGATCTGAGCACGCTCATGAGCCAAATGTGGCTGAACTTTGCAAATACACTGACCCCAAATGGTCACCAAAGTAAGCTTACACTCACCCCCAACAACCCTTTTGTTGCAGACTATTTTGCTAACTTCGCAATAGATTTGAAAGCAAACGTGACCTGGCCCGTTTATAGGAATGGAAATGGGACAAACATCGTGTTCCACTTGAATGGTACCTATCTGGAGCCTGATAACTGGAGGGCAAATGCTATTAGACGCCTGATTGGTTCCTTACACGAGTTCAAGCTTTAATCTTGTTGATATGGTCTGGATATCCTTCTTTATGCTACAAACTGTTCTATATTATTATTATGTCGTTTGGTGGATTCTGGAATGGTAAATAAACCCAATCCGCTTCACCATATAGGATGGCGCAATGTCAAATCCACTATACACATTCTAACATTTCCATTGTCTCACACGTAACATAATCGTTTTTCTACCAATGAGGCATATATTTGGCCGTTGACATGGCGATATTTTTGCTCGGGGTCCTCACGCAAATTATAACTAGTCAGTGTTTTAGTTTCATATTAGATAACTTACTTAATGCTTGCCCTGACTTGCATACCGTTGGCTCGTCACAATCTGGCTTCGTGCAAACAATTTCTCGCAAACTACTGCCCTCCATAATTAAACAGTATATACTGCATCATTAGTTTTAATATGTGGTTTTTGTTTTCCGGGCAGGGTTCAGTCTCATTTGTATACAGGAGACTTATGAACTACCTAGCAATGTGAACCCATTGCGGGTTTGCGGGTTTGCGGGATTTGGCTCAGTCTAGGCATGGGCTTAGCCCTTATCACCCTAAGGGTGAGAATTCTTCCCCCGTTCTCATCCCTCCCGCCTCAGTCTCAAGACCTCTTCACCTATATCACCCGCACTCAACCTAGAGTGCCGCTTAGGTGCCAGGGCCAATTTAAGTATTGACTGCATAGAATATGTGGCTTAAGTACGGCTAAGCGGACGGGAAGCCCTGTTTCCCACACCCTACGGTAGTATGTATCGTGCAACGTATGGGAGTGAAGTATAGATTGCTATCAATTGACAATCGACTAGTGGGATATGAAAATGACCGTCGGTCGTGCGCGCCGTACTGACCCTCTCGGCTGAACTATAGTATCCATATTAACGCTAAATCCGACGAGTAATATAAATAAATAAGGCTTCCTAACGGTAAGAAAGTAGATCGATCGTAACTAGAATTTTCAGGGACTATTTGAAGTATAGTTAGAAAGCTGTTTCCCGGGTTTTAGACTTCGGCAGAACCCATTTTGGTCGGAACCTCCGACTCGTATTCAGCCCGTACTCAGTCCAGTTGTCTGAAATCTGTTGTTGCCGTATTGACACTGATTCATCGACTAGAAATATCCCGACGATGGCCAACTCGGGGTTATATAACCCAGCTTGTCTACAGTCATTGTTGAGCGAAGTAGCGAGCCCGACTTAGCGAGTAGGGTCTCGCGGTCTCGAATAGTCGCATAATATTGTATACTGTTAGTACCATTAAGGTACGCTAACTTATTTTGGATAGCATGTCGAACTTGGGAATATTTATGGAGAAGAACATCAAGACCGAGGATAATTCTAATGAAAAAGAGTCTACCCCATCGCCGATGCATTAAGTCTTTGGTGACCATTTCACGGCTAGAAAAAGAGACATCTATACCGGTGGTACTTATACTCTCATAATGGAGCGGTGTTTTTAATCAATGTATCGCAATTGTGTACTCTATACTAGTAAGAATATCAAAGTCATTGACTGGTAGCTATTTACCACTCCTACTAAGGAAGTTAGTAGTGTAGTATTTGTTATTAGTATGGCCGCCGATTGAGCCTGGACTATTATTTTTCTCTACTTCTACGGCAAGGGCATACGTTTGATTAGGAAGTAGTTTGGATAAGCTAAACCTTAATTGTAAACGGAAGTATCTACATATGTATATTGCTCGTTATTGTTGAAGTGAAGTGTATCGAATCTACTAAATCGCTCGGTCATCTTTCAGGCAAGCTGTGAGGCTTGTGAGGTTGCAGTAGCCAATGCATTATTAGCCACGTGCGAATGACTGATTCCGTGTTGCTGACACGTCAGATGTTCAGGGGCGTGCAGTATAGTGGTGTGGTGTTCAGTCATTCAGGTGAATGGTCTGAAGAGTAGACTCGAATTCCGAGATTGAACTAAATGATTATATAATCAATTTTACAAGTCTCCCGGAACTTACGAGTCTCCCCGAACTGAACCCCCCCGTATTGTCTCATGGATGGAAAGTTCTAGGGAGGGGATATGCGCCACTACTTATATAGACGACCTTTCTCTTTTACACAAATTCTTCGATTTTATCACTTGCAAGGGCCCACAAAAATGGACGACGGGTTGTTATACCCCATTGTCTGCATACAATTTATTCCACACTATGTAACCGAGACCCTTCGCTAGTTATGCATCCCATATTGTTCTGATTCAAGTCCATAGATCCTTACTCATATTATCGTCAGCGCCTACCGCCGAAGCTTTCTTTCACCGCACCGCCTCTACGTCGTTGAAGATGACGACAACATCGAAAGCTACGCAACAAGCGCCTCGAACGCGCATTTTGAATACGACACATCTGCGTTCCACGGGAAAACCATCGATGATATTATTTGCATTCTTCAAGAAAGGGTTACTGGAAACACAGTAGCCAAAAACGTGTTCTACATTGCGGACGACCGGACGATCAGGGATCATAGCTTACTCCTGGTTCATGTTCAACCCAAAGAGAAGGATCAAACCTTCCTTAGCGTCCGACTCGCATGTGAATTTGTAAACCTGATGGCGAGATCTTTCCCATATCCCGAATCCCGAAGATTCATCCAGGATTTTCAGAACGACGTCGATGACGATGGCGTGTATCGGGGTGGGAGAAAAGACCCTTACATATATTGTGGGACACGGACTTCTTATCTAGATGAACACGATGCATTAGAATAGGGCGAACTAAAAGCCCTATCTAATTGCTTCCCTCGCGCTGGAATCCATCTTTATCTTCCGGACGTGTAAAAGATCATTCTTGACGCTAACTAGTTCCACGTTCAACCATATATTCATCGGACTAGTTCTCTGATGGATATCATATGAATATATTCTTGTACCACAAGGACCAACGGTTAGGCCTGCGTGCCCAAAGGGGCCTGAATAGACTGAAGAATAGGGCGTTCGAGGATTTCTAAATAAAAAAAACTTTCAAAAACATACAACAGTGAGGATTCGCTGGTGGTCACCCACCCAACTACTAACTCACCGGCGTGTGGCTTAAGTACGGCTGAGCGGACGGGAAGCCCTGTTTTCCACACCCTATGGTCGTATGTATCAGGTCGTGTGTGGGAGAGAATTATAGATTGTAGCCGATTTGGAATCACTGGTAAATTTGGCATAGCGCGGCTGGGGTCGTAGGAGTGAGTGCGCTATAGACAGGGGGGAGAAGTTGTATCAGAAGAAAATACAAAGTATAATACTCTGACAAAGAGCTCTAATCAACACGAAAACTCTCCATAACGCTAATAAAATTTCCATGCAATGATTTCTAGCTAATTAGGTCCGTGATCCGGTCTCGTCTTCCATATGACAACATCTGCCCCCAAGAAATGTTCAGGGAGGTAGCCGTGCCAAGCGCCCAATAGACCTGCCGGATATTGGTGTGCGCCCCAGCAAACGCCAATTTCCCAAAAATCTAGCAATTAGGTATCTTTTATACGACTTGCTTATACAAAAAGTACTTAGGCACCCCGTAGACATAACATAGTAGTAATAATTCTTATTTTAATATAGAAGAATAATAATCATTTAAAAATGACACAAGATAAAAAAGGTTATACGGAGAAATATAGATACTATCCTGATTTTAGTATACATAATATTCTTTGCCGGAGTTTGATTAAATAATATAGACTTCTTTTATACTATATATATCTGCTTATATCTTCCCTAATTACAGAGTAACTTGAGAGTCGAGATGACTTTTATGGCGCCTAAGTATCTTTTATATGGGTAAGTCATATAAAAGATACCTAATTTCTAGATTTGTATATTGGGCGCTTGGTACGGCTACACTACACCAGAGTCACGATTCTAAGACCCCTTCCACCCTATATCATACACCGGATAAATATCCAGAATGGTTACCCTCATGTCCCATGGGTCCTCTTTCTTCCCACGTTGGTTTTTTATGAACGGCTAGGGAATTCCCGAGAGCAGGGATGCACAAGTCGGAACCGGTGACTTGATTTTCTTTATGTCGCCGGTCCGACCCATTATTACCAGACGATTTCTACACCACGCGCTTCAACGCGATTTACACAATTAGATTGAGAATATGTCTTTGTCTCCAGATGAGATCGGAACTACCAAATCAAAACATGCTGGCGGTACTGCCCAACCCCAACATGAGAATAGTACTGAGGAACCAGAGGGAAACCCAACGGCGATGCACGGTTTCAAGCTCTGGGCTATTTTCATCGGTATATGCTTCGGTGCGTTCTTGATGTCCTTGGATATCTTCGTTATCGCAACAGTACTATTATCACCCCCCGTCCTGTCCCAGGAAATCAGATCATCTGACACCATGGATAGGCCATTCCATCCATCACGTCCGACTTTAAGGATACGTCGCAGCTGGCATGGTATCCGGCTGCCTATTCACTCACGACATGCGCATTGACTCCGCTGGCAGGAAAGCTAAGCGTAACCTTTCCCCTACGCTGGATCTACATTATATTCTTTTCCATATTTATGATCGGAAGCCTTATCTGTGGCTTTGCTCCAAATAGCAACAGCTTTATTGCGGGTCGTGCAGTTGCAGGCATCGGGGCATCCGGCGTCGCGAGTGGTGGGTTTATTATTGTTCTTACGGTTGCTTCGGATAAAGCGAAGCCGCTCCTTATGGGTATCTGTAGCAGTTGCTTTGCTATGGGTCTAATCCTTGCACCTGTTATAGGAGGTGCTTTCACGCAAAAGGCAACGTGGCGGTGGTGTTTTTGGGTCAACCTTCCTCCAGGTGCTGTGACATTAGTTGCAATGTTTTTGTTCTTCACACCTCCATCGATCCAGCGCGATCGGACAGCTCTCCAGCGGATTAGGAATCTCGATCTTATTGGATGTGCAATCTTTATTCCCGCTATCTTTATGCTGCTTCTCGCTATGATGTGGGGTGGCACGGAAAAGCCCTGGGGGTCGGCAACAATCATCGGTCTCTTTGTGGGGTCAGGTGTGATGCTCATACTGTTTGTTATCTGGGAGCATTTTAAGGGCGATGACGCTATGATACCGGAGAATCTCATTACCAGACGAACCGTCGCCTTCAGTGTTTTCTTTTCCTTCTGTCATTTCGGGTCTCTCGGCATCCTGAACTACTACCTTCCAGAGTGGTTTCAAGCCGTGGAAGGCGTAAGTCCACTAGAAAGTGGTACGCGGATTCTAGCTTCAGTTCTCGCTCAGATCGTGGGAACACTATCTTCCGGTATTCTGGGTAAGCCCAATGCTCGCAGTTTACCTGAAAGGTCTCAGAGGCTAAAACTACACAGCGCGGAAACTCAACTTCTATAACCCATGGCTCTTCGCTGGGCCTCTTTTTATGTGCACGGCCGCAGCGCTGTACACCCAATTCACGCCTTATAATACACCATCCAGCCATTGGATCGGTTTCCAAGTCATCCAGGGTCTCGGGGTTGGTATGGCTCAGCAAATGCCTTCTCTCATCGTCCAACTAGCAGTCCATGATAAAGCGGAGCTTATGCCCGCTGCCGTCTCTCTCAACTTATTCTTCCAATATCTGGGTGCTACAGTCACACAAGTTATCGGAGGCATCGTGTTCCGTTCAATTCTGGGCAAAACCTTGGACGACCATGGTCTAAGTGCTACACAGATAGCGTTATTATCTGCCGCTGGGACTGCCAATATTCGTGAAATCACCAATGCGAATTTCCCCAGACTATTGCGTCCAGTTTTGGAGTCTTATAACAAAGCTATCACTTCCACATTTGTGAGTGGCCCTTCCCGAGGCGAGGGTGCAGAGGGATTTTAGCTGACTGGTGGATATTTATAGTTTGTTGCAGTTGGTACGACATCCGCCGCATTCTGTTTTGCTTTCGGTGTTAAGTGGACAAGAATCCATGCGGTAAAGAGTACTGATCCTGAAGCGGAAGAGGTTGAGCAGAAGTAGGACCCTGGCAAGCCTCTTCTACGAGTCTTGGGGGTAATAGTAAGCCATTATCCGCGTACAGCAAGTCAGGAAGTGATCAATGTTGAGATTGATGAAGCAGGGAGAAAGACTCAGTAAGCTATCTACTACGCTACGTATTTAGCTATAGATCTCTGGCATATAAATTCTACAGGCGAACTTTCTGATAGTATAGAACATAGCATAGAACATTTGAACATTCAATAGATGAATGTAAAAAGGACTGTGAAATCTTCAAAAGATTTACTTGGTAAATCGAACGCCACATGTGCATTTTAAACGTTCGAGCCTATTTTAGGAAACACATTTGCAAGGCTAGTGCTTAGTAGAAAGCCGACGGCCTAAGCGTTGGACGGCAAGTACAATGGCTTCTCCAAAATATTAGGCGTTTCAATACCCTTGGAAATCGCCTTCTATAGGGACATGAGGTCAAAATTCCGCCCAATATCCAATATTCTAGGGCCCAATTTGGAGATCCCACTGTAGAAATACGGTATGAACCCACTATTTTACGACCTAAATGAGTACTATTAACTGGGAGTGCTGTAAAGCACTAATACAGCAACTCAGTTGGTGCATGGGTTGATCAAAAGCAGGCGGCGAAGGAATTAATTATTATTTATTCCAATTTAATTATAGCTCAATTTCAAACCCATTAAGATATGATCACTCCAGGCCTGGTAAGTGAACTGACCTGGGGCTCTGTCCTCCACTACGCACTGACCTCTCCCGTTCGCTCCTTAATGTACGGTCTTGTCATGTAATCTTGCGGCAGTAGTTAAATATAGTAGTTAGATAGATTTAATAGATACACTCCTACAACTGTCCGAATTCCCTTCTTAGCTAGCGTCCTAGGTTCCTTTATATCGTCGGGGAGAAAGCCCGACTACGAGTGCTGAATCGACCCGTATACCAGAGAGCATACAGCCGGGAGCGTTCCCCTCTGAAATATTTCATATATCATACATTAGTTGTAATTTGCGGATCTCACGTCAGGCATGGACTTGAAAAAAAAATGAACTAAAGTGGATCATACATATGTACCTGATTGATAGCTACGTTTCATCTAATTTTTACCCCACCTGCGAACGGAGTGCCTACGAGCTTCATCCCCCAGTACTATTTAGTGGACATCGGAACCTGCAAAATTTTCAAGGGAGATTAAATCCCCGCGGCACTTAACGTTCTGAAGTCAGATCCTCTTGCCGAATGATTGACCAAGCTGGACGGCAACTACGCCGAATCTCAAATTTCCCGAGCTGGAAGATTGGCCCCCTGGTGGTCCACCCCTGGTTGGCATGGAAGCCCTGGCGCTTACAGAACCTGGTTACAGACAGTTAGTATCCTGAGCGGGGTATAGACATACGTACGCTTGATCGGCCAAATGACTGGGGGCCAAAATATGTGGGAATACTTTGCGCCTATCTTGCTCCCTGGCCCCTCGAGAGTAGGCAGTTGAGAACGCGACCACCAATGGTGATCGACCCGCTACCAGACTCTCGGCTCATCCACGGCCTATAGTTGTCGCTTTCTATGGTGGGGCAATCACGGAGGGCACGAGTGGGATGCAGACTACGATTTAGTGCCCTCTAGGCTGATATTGGTGGGAAGCTAACTGTAAAAGGTATGATTTATGCCAATGTCGTTCAACAAACAGGAATTAAAGAGAGTTGCCGCCCGAGGTCTTTTTAAACCCACCTTTGTAATACATACACACATGTCAACATCGTTCTACTTTATCTTTTATTATATAACTAGCACGGCGGGATGATGCGTGTAGAATCCAACGGCCAGGGGAAGCTCCGAGCGGCGTGTGACCGATGTCACGAACTCAAAAATCGATGTACACGGACCGGTGGATCAGAGAGTCGGTGCGATCGGTGTGAGAGGCTTGATATAGACTGCGTGTACAATACCTGTGCCCAGATGGGTCGCCCAAGAGTCTTTCGGCCCGCTCATAAAAGCACCTCAGCTGGTGCCGGCGACACTCATGTGAGGCACATAGCTAAACGACGGGCCGCCCGGTCAGGACAACAGCCTACCGCCAACACCAACTTAACGCCCGTTGAACATGTTGAACATGTTGATCCAACATCTAGTAGAACTCCCAAGAATCCCGAACCCATTCTTGGTCTTCTGGACCCTTCCCTTATCCCTCAAGGTACATACGCACGCAATGAGCCCGCACTCAGGGACTGGCAGGTGGCGCAAAACAACCCCTGGTTAGCCATACCCAGCGAGGATATGGACTGGTATTTACAACCATATTCTTCCAACTTCACCAATCCCCCCCCATGATGACCCAACAGTTGGGCATGACCAATCATATAATCCAGTGGACTCCCAACACGGATACAAAGGAGGGATTTCAGATAACGCGAATTCTGCAATGGGGATGTCGGAAAAAGCAATTCCGGCGAATATTGGCATGGATGAACTTCTGCGGCTGCAGTGCCATTTGAACGATCTGTTGACAGGCGCGAGTGAGTCAGCCACAACCCACCAGCTGGCCTTGAATGAAGTGATGGTGGCATGTAAAGATCTGTTAGAGTTGCTCCCAGGTCCCCAATCGGACTGCAGCAGGCCATCCACCCCCGGGCGTTCTCAGGACAATTCTTGTCACGCCGCATTAGACCCACTGAGGATAAACTACATTGCTGTATTGCAGGTAGCTACGTCTTATGCATATGTGCTACAGCTGCTCGATCTCGCAGTTGATAATCTCAAGCCCCAAGCTGGGAACTTGGCGCTTGTCAGCCCGGGCATTTTCAATCTTGAGTCACCACCGGCAATAAGAACTTCCGTGAGGGCTTACATGGTTTTCAACATGGTTCATCAACTGCGCGACGCTATCAACCTGCTGACACCTGAACACAAGGGAATACCGTCACCCCATGTATCACCCATAGGCATGTTGCAAATAGCCACTACGACAAATTCCATGCAAGCTGCCGTGTATATGGTGCATGAGATGGAGACGTCGTTACTTGAGAAGTTATCACAAGTTATGAACAGTCCATAGTCAGGGCCAATGGTGCTCGGGGTTAGTGGAAACCATGTATGCTTTAAATAGTATGTCTTACATCATGATAGTTCCGTCGAATACCTATGTTGAATACCGCAGTGAAATACGGACTACAGGACATTGAAACTATATAACCCATTGGTTTGTTGTAACGTTTTTCGCAATAGCAGCCTACATACTATGTATATTACTAACCTAACCCAATCATCTAGCAATTGATCCCCTATTCCAGGATTACAACCCACGATGCCTAATATATTCTGAATAGTTTATTCGACGCCTTTTTTTTCGGTTCATTGTACAATATATTATATTTCTACTTCTAATCAGGTACATACGACCATAGGGCGTGGAAAACAGGGCTTCCCGTCCGCTCGGCCGTACTTAAGCCATATGATCTACGCAGCCGATTCTTGAGGTGGACGTTAAAGTGGCAAGGAAAATTTGACTTGGAATGAGTGTGAGTGATATATGTGAGATTTCTGGAGACTGGGGTGAGAGGGTGGTGACAATTCTGACATCAGGTGATAGACGCCCCTGTGCCTAGTACCTAGGTATATTGCAGTGGGGGAATTGCTTTTTACCCCTCTCATCTCTCGCCTTAATCTCTCTACTCACTTCCTCTCCCTTCCTTTCTCTCTTCTCTCTCTCTTTCTCTACTGAACCTCACGCCAACATGGACTTCCCTACCCGGGATATATTCCCTTTCCGTCTGGATATACAGTTAGGGAAAGACTGGTATTGTGTAAGCTGACTCTACGTTGCTTTGTAATATCCAACTCTGATCAACGTCTAGTGTCTTGAAAATTGTAAATCATACAACGCGGCAGACGCAAAAAAATGTGGTGAATGTCAGCATGAGAAATGTGCGCAATGCCAAGGCCCGACATATGGGATGTCTCAAGTGGCATATATGTATATCTGTGTAAAAAGCCCCTACCCACTCCACTGTCGGAAATCTACTGACGATTCAGTGTCAATGCGGTGATGGTCCGAAACTGTATAATATGCAACCAACGTGTTACGTATGCAGCCATCAAGCATGTTCTAATTGCCCCACTGCTCAGTGAATTCAAACTTGTTTCCCTTGCCCATGTCTCCACCGGGGAAGTATCGTCTGCAGTCCCACGGCTGCTGTGATTGTGCCACCTGTGAGACAGATGAGACAAAGCCAGTATTTCCACCATGCGTTCTCGCTGCCGACTTGGTTCATACTGAAGATACCCTATTTTGTGCATTAGTATAGCAACTAGTATAAGAAACTGCGTAACGCACCGTCACCAGAGTCACAGGGAGGTATATCTGGCTTTGCATTAGCTAGGCTTAGCAGATAAGTGACGAGACCCACTATACTGATATACGTCAAAAGACGGATATTGTCCCCCTGGCGGGTGGCCGTGATACTTTCTGCGAGGGAGGAAGCATTTACCAGCTTAGAATATATTAGAGAAATATGCAAGTGTGAGTTCGGCAAACTAGACCCGACATACCACATCCGACATCTTCTCCAATGTTTCGATCTGCTGGTCCAAAATCATCTGGACGGTAGCCAGCTCGGCGGTAAATTGGCGCACCTGATAAAAACACTCGCGGAACCTGTCGTACAGGGCGCCCTCGGCTTCAAGTTCAAAATAGACGCCATTGTTCGCGTCAAAGGAGACTAGCGTCGCGATTACTCTGGCTAATAGGTTACGAAGCCTCCGTAATGTGCCTAGGATCCAAGTATATTCTTTCGTTTTTCTCAGAGACGGGTCGTCCTCCAGGAATAAGTCATCCTAGTCAGAAATTCAGATTGTGTAGATAGTAAGATTGCAAAAAGTCCTGTAGAGTGGGTATTTACGTGCTTGTCAAGATTCCCCGCGATGATCTCCATCAAGACCGCCCATTCCATTGTGATCTGACTCATGCGAATGACTAAGATGGAAAGGAAATAGTATCGAGGGTCCCAAATAGGAAACCGGCTCATCCGCAGACCCGACGATGGCCCATCCACCTCATCCTGGAGGTACTCGGCGATCGGGTTGCTGGCTCGGAAGTACGCATCCTCACAGAAAAAGGCGGTCCAGAAGAAGTCATCAACCCCGAACACGATCAGGGATAGTTGGGCCTCGTAAACGGCATCCTGACCAGAAAGACGAAAGAGACGGTGTTTCCGAAGTCGTCGATTGTCTTGGAGTCGGTAGTCGTCTCGTCGAAGGGCGTAATGTGGCAGGTGGAATTCAAGGGTGAATCCACGCGTCTAGATTGATTGTCAGCGATCCTTTCATTTCTTCTTCCAGAGTGGAAATACCTGCGAGACTCCCATGTACGAGTCAAACGCCACGTATCGTGACAGAAATGACCGCACCTGGGGAAGATGCATATAATTGACGTTCGAGATCAACGCGAGGGCCACCAGAGGTGTCAAATCGACCATATATCTGTTAAATTAGACACAGTTTACCAATAACAAGGGGTAAATACATGATTCGGCGCTCTGCACGACCTGATCTCTAGAGGAGACGTCAGTAAAATAGAACCAGTATCCAGATGAAAAGGAACGTACATCTTGATTAAGATGCGTGTAGAGTGTCTCCGCATCCACGCCGCAGACACGAACATTCAACCCCTCAGGAGGGCGTCGCATATACTCTTCGGACCCCCATTGTCGAACTGACAGGAAAGACGCACTTTCTGGCATGCTCATAATCTTTAAGCATGGATCACACCGGTCATCGATCACAGCAAGCACTCGCCTATCTGCTGGTGAACTTTGGCCGCCCCCGATAATGTCTGTGAACGAACGCAGGGCTCCAGTCTGTCCAAGAAAGAGTTTCAGCAGCTCATGGCGCCGGGGTGGAGATAGATTTGGGTTAACTCTGTGGAAGAACTCGTCAATCACTGATCCATCGGCGGGGACGCGTAATCGATTATCCTGTCCGTGATAGAGGGTCGTCTGACGGATAGAAAATTCTTTGCGCCATTTCAGAGAGCGTAGCGGAGGACGAATAGGGCTGATGAGGGTCTCCATGGAGTGGAAGCTGGAAGGGAAACTGTGAGGGCCGGAAGAGCCCGTTTTTGTGAACGCTTGATACGTGCATAACCAACCTAGCGTTGCTCAGCCCGATTAGGCACCTACGCATCCCAGGACAGCCCATATAAGCAAAGAATAGTACTCAGAGCATGGACAGCAGCTGAGTTTGCCCCAAAACCCAGCGCTATATACATAATCAAGCAAAAATTTCAACCAAATGTTCGTGCTCATAAATAGAGCTCTCGGTAATACCATGAATGAGATACAGCCTTAGGGGGAGGACCTTTGAGCTATCTTACAAGCCATACCAGGAGAGATGCCCGATAGGCATATACTGAGAAAACCCGTTACTAGAGGGGGGTGTCATTTGTTTAGCAGTTTCGTGTAAAATATACTCGACGAGATCCCACCCCCATCATCTACATAAAGGGTCTACAGAACCGAGGGATCGACGGCCATACCTATGGACTACCATGTTTCAAACCAGGATTCCGAAGTTAATGCACTGTATAAGAGTGTAGAGGCAAATCGGATTTCGAATACCAGTGTGAGGTGAAACACAAGATCATTTCTAAAATTTGGGGTAGTGACTAAATATGATCGAATTGAAGATATCCGAAAGGTTTAATATATTGCCACCGGATGTGATGTATAACAAGGTGGTTTAAAGGCCACTGAGTGAAAATCACCCGCCTTCACCCGAGCGCCGCACTGACCTTCCTAGCTGAGCGGCAGTTGACAGTCATTGGATTATAGCGTTCATTCTGGACAACTACACTCTTGGCACCTGCACACAGCCTCAATTGCCAGCTCAGCGAGATTTCAGGCATCAAAACGTCAGAAACACTTATTCCACATACGTCGCACAACTCCTCTTCCAACAAATCAACGATTCTCCTCGTTCATGGCGGATTCTCCGATGGCCAGGAGTGGGACGCTGTATGGCCGCTTCTCGTCGCCTACCACGTGCTAATTCCCGACCTCCCTGCCCACGGGCGATCGCTTGAGACTAAACCTCTGGAAATTAACGACGCTGCTCGCCCTCTTGCAAGTCTGATCGAAGCTAAAGCACAGAAGCAAATAGCTCATGTAGTCGCCATCAGTATTGGCGCACATGTCGCCGCTACTATGGCCGCGCAGTATCCCGAGCGTGTCCAAACCCTGATCGTTTCCGGCTTCAACCTCTTTGCGCCAAACCTTATCTCGCCTATATTGCCATACCTAGTCTACGCTGCGCAAAGGACTAGCGGCCGTAGCGGGTGTGGGCACTTATTTACAACGTGTGATATATTTAATATACTGTTTTCGTCACGAGATTTAGAGCCTATCGCAGCCCGGTCATTAGTGGTGGCCGCAACGAGAGGAATTAGCGCCGACAATTTTAGCCATTCTCGCCGGCTGTTCGAGACGGTAATGGATAACGAGAGTAGGCTGGTGCAGCACCGGGGCATGCGTCATCCATGGAACGCGGATGAACCACAGCTCTTTGCGAATGTAGTGATAAGCTGGATTATGGGCGGGGATTTACCAGATAGTTTCGAGCCGATTCCTTGACTTTCTCTCACAGCGACTTGACATTTATGGGGTATATTCAAATCACAAGATAGGATAGTCAGGCACATATGGCACTTCGAGACAGTTAACCAGGTCATTCATTGAATTGAATGCTTTGCCATCTTCACACCGTTACAACAAACTTGAAATTCATGTCCTTCGAGCAAAGAATCTGAAAGTGCATAGTGACCTTGAATCAATCAAGTATTGGGGGTACATTACTACGTGGTTCCACCTTGCCTACCCACACCTTGCAGTTACAGTGGTACCACGCCGCCCTGCAGCGAAAGCCTTGAGCTGTGCCTTCCTTCTGGCTGAAAGAAGGAAGGCTGAAACTCCCTATCGCTCAAGATAGATCCACTAAGAGAGACCATATCTCAGAAACCTTAGACCAAGTATACACATGCAAAACTGTGAACATTACGTTCCTTTCAAGGTAAGTAGCCCTCCCGTATAGAAATGAATAAACTTTAGCTAAACGAATCCGGTCTGAAAGTTGAAAATGACTCTGTCGAACGAAATCGGTTCTTTCAAGGAGAAGGGGATGTCGGAAGTTCTGTTGAACGGAGCGACAGCGCGAGTGAACGAGGAAGGAGCGAGAGCGAACGGTTACCGATTCGAGGTAAGAAGCTTCCCTCATAATCAGTTGCACAGGCCAGCTAAGGAGAAAAATAGAGCGCCGAAGGACTTGAGGAATCTTACTGGGCCAATATCGACCATGCCGCTGTTGAGCTCTTTGAGTGCACCCTTACTAGTGGTGATGGGTTGGTCTCGCCGGCAGACTACATTCACCACATCAACATCCCCCGGGGAAACCACTTGGCTCACCAAGCATCTATCATCAGCGCAGCATGAGCAATTGTGATGGGCGAATATACCAACTCGAATGATGTCCTGTTTGGAGAGCTCAAAGGCGGCAAAATCTCGCCACTCTGAGTGCCCCTGAAGCAAGAGGACACCATTGAGAGCTTATTGCATCGCGTTGAGGAGAATCGGAAGGTGACCTAAGTCACTCTAGCCGCGTCGCTGCGCAAGGTCCAATGTGTTATTGCGTTCTATGAGCATGACGGAATGGAGGCCAGACCATATATTGGTCCGCTGAATGACGAAGTCATGCAGGTTAACTTCTTTCTTCATGCGAGCCGCATACACATCAAGGTGCCCTACGATCAAGTATCTGTGGAGACATCAAGAATTCACAGGCTATTTCAGCAGCTAGGCCATGTTCTCACCCAATTGTACGAAAACCCGGGGGAGACTGCCCTGGGGAAAGTGAGCAGCGTCACTGCAGAGGACATTAACGACATGGCGGAGTGGAACATGGGTTCTCGCAAATCCTATGTCTTGGATTCCATCAATACTAGCTTTGAGCGGCAGGTGATGGCTTCGCTTGATTCCTAGGCTATCAATGGGTGGGATGGGAGTCTATCGTACGCTCAACTCTACAATCGGGCTAATTTACTGGCCAACTTCCTCTATGAGACTGGAGTCCGGCCACATGGTCTCGTGCCTCTCGCATTCGAAAAATCAGTGTGGTTCACTATATCTATTTTGGCAGTACTGAAGGTCGGAGCGGCCATAGTGCCACTGGATCCTGACTGGCCGAGGTGAGCGTCGGGTGTACATCGTGAAGGACGCTGGAAGCCGCTTGGCTCTCACGAATGTGGTCAGATTCATAGACGACCATCCGGAACTTACGGTAATTAATGTCAGCGAGATGGTATGGGCGCCGCAGACGGAGCCCAAGAGCAATTTCGCGCATACTGTCACGCCCGCGCACGCCGCTTATGCGTTCTATACTTCGGGCTCAACTGGGCTGCCTAAGGGATGTATCATCGAACATGGTGCATTCGTGGCCTCAACATTAGAGCGGGTGAAGGCCCTCGGTCGTAATAGAAGCTCTCGTATGCTTCAAGCGACAACTTATACTTTCGATCCTGCAATGGAGGACATCCTGACCACACTCCCCGTTGGCGGCTGTGTCTGTGTTCCCAGTAAGCAGGAATATATGAACAACCTCAGCGGAGCAATTTGCAAGTACAAAGCCAGCACATTGAACATTACACCCAGCTTTGTCCGGTCTCTGCGTCCGGAGCAGGTGCCCTCGTTGAAGACGTTGATCCTAGGAGGCGAGAAGATGAACGACCGGATCTTGGAAACTTGGGCAGGGGCAGTGTCACTGCTCAACGCATACGGTCTTATGGAATGTTGCATCAAGAGTACAATAAACCGTGTTAGTGCCGATGCAGATCCACGCAACATCGGTTATCCCGCCGGCTGCTCCATCTGGCTAACCCGGCCTCATGATCACGATACGCTGGCAGCTATCGGCACGGTCGGAGAGATTCTAATCCAGGGCCCGAATCTCGCGCGTGAATATCTTAATCGACCAGAGCTAACCGCACAATCGTTTCCTCAGAATCTGCGCTGGGCATCCCAAGCTGGACTAGGCAGCGACACACGATTCTACAAGACAGGAGACCTAGCGCGTTTCAATCCAGATGGCTCGATTTGTCTTCTTGGCAGAAAGGACAATCAAGTCAAGATACATGGGCAACGTATCGAGCTGGGAGAAATTGACTATCATCTGCGCCAGAGTTTCCCCGCTGAGGCCGAAGCGATTGCCGGTGTGGTAACCTTCAAAGACCGAGAAACCCCATATCTCGTGGCTTTTGTACAGATGGTGAACCAGCGCTAATCTCAGATCAAGGCAACCGGTGTTCTGGCGCTTCTCGAGGATCCAGCTCAGGTGCACCAGCTGCAAACAAGTGCAGTCGAACGACTATCGAGGGTACTGCCGACTTACATGGTACCATCGGTCTTTTTGCCCATCCAAAGCTTCCTCTACTTCTCTAATAGCAAGACATCTCGACGAGGCATGTGCGAACAAGCCACAAATATGTTTCTGGAGACCATTCTGAAGAAGTTGGGCCGGGTGGGCCATGAAACCCATGACAATTCCTCATGGTCTGCGGATGCGCTGGCTCTCCGCCAACTTTGGGCGACAGCACTCTGCCTGGATACGAAGATGATCGGAGTCGAAGACAATTTCTCCTGTCTGGGAGGCGATTCATTGGCGGCCATCGAGCTGGCGCGCTTGTGTCGATCCCAGAACGTCGATCTAACCGTCGACGACATCATGCGATGCCCAACCATTCTCACTCACTTGGAAGACAAGCACGACCGCCGAGCGAATGGCGGGACTGCTCAAACAGCCCCCTTCGCGCTGTTGGAGAAGAGTACAGATATAAGCAAGCTGTGCGAAGAGGTCTCGAAGCCGTGTCAAGTTGACGTGGGCTCACCTACACCGGGAAAGGGTGTAGGTGAGTGCTTAGTCACAATTACTAGGTTACCTAGTCCGACCCAGACCCATCGGGTTTACGGGTTCGGGTTGCGGGTTAGAACTTCTTACCCATTCTCGGGTTTTGGCGCAGACTAACTGAGGCTACTATACAGCACATTCATTCTCACCAGAGGAGATAAATGAGCCAGGAGCATCAGCCCAACTGGCCGATGTCATCGCCACATTTGTTGAATGACCAAAAACCGGTAAACCCCTTCCAATAAATCAGTCGGGAGCCTAGACCTTGACATGACGCTTGCATAACTGAGGGAGGTGCCATGGAATGCTTGGCACATTTTATCCATGGCCCGCTCGCAATGATCCAGAGTAATCTAGAACCAAGTTCAAAGACCACAGAAGATACCTAGGATACAAGGCAGGGATTATTGCACATTTTATTACTGAAAAGATAATTAAAAATGGTTGTCGGATACTGGGCATGTGAAACACTGGCTGTCAACAGATGGTATTTTAAACGAACACACATGCGCTCACTACTTCATTTTGTTCAATAAAAGCTATTAACCACCACCCTGGACTGTCTGTGTAATTACGATAACTACATATATTGCTGCAATTGCTTCATCCAACTTTTGCCCGCCATACCTTAGCTACCGTTGATCTCTTCGCCATGACCACTATCGTCGTCCCACCAGCAGAGGTCAATCCAAATATGGCGCCCGACCACGAGGTCAGCCTCTTGCTCGACCCGGAAAATGTCCTCACCGCTGCACACGAGCTAACGGACTCCATCCAATCGGCCTTTGATGTGAAACCGCCCGTCACCATAATAAATGTGCAGTTCCTTGACACGAATGATAAAGAGATTTATTCCTCCAACTGGAGCACTCGGATCCGCAAGTTTGAAAATGAGGGTAAACTCGAGCTAACGTATAAGAGGCGGTATACCATCACAAACAGCAACATCAACACCGCTCTTGATGTGGCTAACGAGGATGGTTTCAATGCTACCGACAAGAAATACGAGGCACAGGTCGAATGGGATTTCCAGATGAAAACACTTTCTATTTCCCGCAAGAAAAAAGGACTGGATGTTGGGATTGGCCATACGGACCTGCCGGTGGAAAGTGACTCGCGTCAGATGCTAGTCGACGAAGCGCCAGACAAGTTCGACAAATGGAAGCCTTACAAATCGCAGCCAAACAAATGGCATCCTAAAACCTGGGGCACCAGCGCCTTGAAGGAATCGCGCATTTTCGGTCCGGTCCTCATGAGTCGCTTCACAGGTTCGTGGAATGGGCTAAAGCTTTACCTCGAGATCTGGCCGCTGCGGAACTCCACGGGTACAGGCATTGAACACTTCGTCGAGGCTTCTTTCAAGACAGACTCCGAAACAACCGCTTCCGTTGAGCAGAGCAATCTAGTGGCCTTCTTGAAGAGTAAGAATTGGTTACTTCAACAGGACTCGTCAATGACGAAGCTCATTATGGGCCGTTATTGATGGGCAAAGTTAGTGGGCCCTCGGTTCGTTCTTTACTTGACTTCCGCGACGAAGGGTCCAGGAATGAAAACGTGGCATAGGCACGGTAGGTTAAATTGCTGATCAGACCGAACCGAGCTGGGTCTCTGTTGTCTAGGTTCTCCGTTTGCTATCGTGTATATTACACCGAAACTGCCGTTTCTTATTACTAAAGTCGTGTGATGGTCTTATAATATTTGGCTACTCTGTAGGACGTAAGTTAATAACTTTTCAGTCAGTAGAGCAAAATCGCTCTAACCGTGACGAGAGAGAATGTTTTAATAGCTCCTAATCATATCCCCAGACTTCGGACCAGTGACAGAATTTTCCTGAATTCCTCGAGCTAGTCTCTTTCAGACCTTGTCGCATAAAGAGGGTATGCGAGAAAAATAACAAGACGAGGCCAATCACGGATGTTTTCAATTCGCAAATGGCTCCATACAAATCAGTATGCTAAATTTACATTTGTCGACCCCGTTCTCATGCTAGTCATCTACTCTTTATTAGACTCTTCAGGGCTAGACCTCGGCATGACCCATGGGTGGGTTTGGGTCAAGACTGTTGAGTATCACGGTGGCTGAACCTTGCAGCAGGGATTGGGAAGCTGCATTTGTTGCTCAGGGTAGTGGATCCTACGAGCTGTGAGCTCGGTAGGTTAGCGACTGTAAGAGAGAGAGATGGTGATCACAAGGGTCAGATTGGATTGTAAGGCTATTGGTGTTAATCAAATTGTTCCTGAAGTATGCCCAAATCTGTTTAGTATCAGTCGCAGCCTCGGCCCTATGTCTTTCAGTCCCACATCTGCTCTCTAGCTTTAGGCTCTGTAGCGACGTCAAATGATAACATGGCAGTCGGGCTGCGGCTGTCACCATCCTCATGTGTATGGAGTAGATTTACGCTTTTGTCTTTAGACAGGCAATAATAATGATATTGATTAGTAGCAATAAAGGTAGTTATAGATACGACATAAGCCTACATCTCTAGATAACTAAACGCCATCAATATCGAGACACCAATGACCTATAATGACTTACTAGAACATTACAGTAACTAGTGGCTGATAGGATTCCCAATCTAACTATGTCGTCCGGATATTATATAATTGTGGATATTTTAGTCCTTATGTAGGCTAGAGATTGACCTCCACTCCAAAAGATAGTTCAGTTCCTTGCAAACATGTTACATGGATTTAGAAAGGCAGAATAAATCATAAGAGCGACGGCACAGGGGGCATTTTTTGGGCTTCAGTAACAAGATAGCAATAAAAGCATATCTTAGAGATATCAATCGAGCGTGTTTGGGTGCACCTTCCTAATTAGCCCTTTCAATTGTTTCTCTAGTCGAGACGCTTCAAACATGGGGATCTTGCGATGACTATTCTTTAAAACCCACCCAGAGCCATCCGACTCCTCCAAGACATGAGAAGGCCAATAAGCTGGCCTATCAGGGGACTGAAGGTTACGTGACGTGACCGATTCATGAATACTTTCGTTGGTGATGTCTTCTTCATGACCGAGAGCTTTGCACCCTAGCGGTTTTCGCGCTGAACGACCTTGAGAGGATTTTAAAAGTGTCGAGATACTCCACTTAACCGGATTAGCATCACCAGAACTTGTGGCCCAAGGCGTCGAGCTCTCTGGGTTGACTCGTTGCGAAAATCCATCATGAAAATAATCAAGATCGATGGAGAGTTGGCCGTCTTTCGTGCATTGAGAGACCATCCACGCTAGTGCAATGTCGGCTAGCCTTGGATCTGGAGCTCCACCACCCACGTCCGTATGGTAGCCTGAAAACCATACCTGACAAAGCTCTTGCCCGGCATTCTGTTTTGGAACATACCATAGTACGGGCTCATATGTGTTCCTTGATTCATCGAGCGATAGGGCCTGGAATGCATGTTGGACATCCGGCGAGAGGATAGTGTTTGGCAGTTCAAATTTCTCCCCTGCGCACCAGCTCAACCAGCTATCATGAAATCCAACCGTGTCCCAGACCCCGATAATCTTGACCGTAAACTGTTCCAAAGGCTTTGCTCGAAATCCAATGCGAAGACGCAAATTGGAATCTTGGTATTTCTCTCTATCAGCGGAAGTGGCTGTCTTTTTCACCATGTAGTAGTCGTTGTAAACAGTGGCGAAATTGTCCATCCCACGGGAGGTAAGTAAACCGAAGCTAGTGACGAGGCCAGCGACAGCCCGTGCTGTGTAAGCACCTCGAGAGAATCCGAAGAAGAATATTTCATCCCCGTCATCGAAGTTATCAGCAAGAAAGCTATATGCTGCCCTGACGTTAGAACTGAGGCCCAAGCCAATTGCCCCTTTTAGGTTAAGAAGAAGAAACTGTCAGTAATTATAGGAAGAGACAGAACAGAGGGTAGGAATGACATACCTCCACCTAATTTATCACCAATAAGACCGGTTCCAACACCCCTCTGATAATACACTATCTGCGATATACGCTTTTTCTGGCCGTTTTCCTCAGTATACCCCGTACGACTGATTGCCCGACTTATGCGAGTCACATTTGTCGGTGGCTGAAATGTATCTCCTGTTGCGTTTGCCCAAGTACCTATAAATCTATAAGGACAGGCTGTTATTACTTGGGAAAGGCAAATGTTTAAACATACCGTCGCAACAGACGACGAGTCGCTTGCGGTTGGACCAAGGAAATGTGTCTGTTTCTGGTAATACAGAAGCCATAATATATAGCGTCCTAAACTATGTCTCTTTTCCACATTAACAGGTTTGTTCTAGAGTGGGATTTTTAAAAACACATAATTCAAGTGTCAAGAGTAGAGGGAGGGCCTTACTATTTCAATATACAGACCGAGAATTAGATGTCTCTGCTTGGTACAATTGTAGGCAAGGATCTGGGCAATGTGATGTTTAAATAACTGACGTACCATACAAAAGTAGCTAGTCATGTGGATGATATTCGTAGATACAAACAACCCCTCGTCATATATATGTTGACCCCATGATAATGGTCATATCACGCCACTGACGTACTACTGGCAACATAGAACAATAACTAATGATCATTTTGATGTTTCAAAGCTGTTTTTACAGTTTAAGCTTATTAGCTTATTCTGCATGATACGCAGTTTCATTAATTGTCTACAAAACCAATAGGGATGTTCCACTGGTACAATACTCAGAGTGATATTCTTGGCATGAGACATTTTAGTCCCTCATACTTAAAATAAAATAAAACTAAAACCATTGGGCATGTTCCACTGGTACAATGCTCAGGATGATTGATCTTCTTGGCATGAGACATTTTAGTCCCTCATACTTAAAATAAAATAAAACCAAAACCATTGGGCACGAAGCTTTTGGTGCCACTAGATATAACCACAAAACGCCGCTCTGAATTGTGATCATCTACTGAAAAACGAAAATCTGGTAATTTATGCTAATCTGTCCATCTTGATGATCTCATGCTCGAAAGACTTGTCACCAGTAGATAGATGTGAGATCATTGTTTAGGTGTACCGCATTCCAGAGTTAGGGTGTGCAATGCTTTGCAACCTTGATTAAGATTTAGAGCCAGATCTAGAGCCCGTTCTCACTCATGCGCGAGGAGGTACTGTTATGGAAGGCGCGAAAGGCCTCCCTTAGTCCGACAGCCTCCAGAAGCAACTTGGAACTCAATTAGCTCAGTGGGCTCTTATTTAACAAGAAAGATCCTGGTTATCTTCAACCGTGTCGAAAGTGGGTATCTTGTTGCAGGTGATCAATTTCTATATCCGTTGATCTCTTTCCAGCACCGGAAGACAGAAGCATATCGTGGGTTACCGTGCCCATGGAATCCCTAACCACCGTTCGCGATGGGAGATGCTCCGCAATCGACCGTTCCAGGCTTCGAGGTATGATGCGTTGGTAATAGTCATGAGATTGAAGCAGAGAATTCTCTCAATCTTTGCCTCTCGTGCTGGCCAGGGATATAAAATACCCGTTGAACTCCGGCGTAAAGATCACTCCTCGCTCTACTGGAGAACTGTGTAGTACCAACTGAACACTCAGATTTACCGTTATCGTCCTATTGTGAGAAACAAAATGGGAGTTCGTGACTACGGAATTTGGAAGGGAACCCCGGTCCTTTACGAGTTTGAGGATCGCTATGAGGACCATGATTCCCCTCATCTGTCGCTGTACTACCATGACAACGAAGGCGACCCGCCAGGTTTCGATCGTGACTTTCGACGCAACAACAGGGGCCATCCACCAAATCCCAACCACCCAAAGGAAATTCCGGGCCTCTTCCGTGCAGCAATCAATATCAAATCCACGGATGATGAGACTCGACTTGCCTATTGGGTGAAAGATAACATGGAGGACCATCTTATTGTCCAGAAATTGACCGGGCTGGACTTTGACTTTAATCCAATCAATAGCGTGCCTGAGCTCAATGGCGAAGGCCTCGACTATATCCGGGGTAACCTCTTCAATTCAAGGAGCGGCCGTGTGCTTTTGCATGACATTCCAGGCACCAACAACGATATAATCGATGTCCTGGAGCCCGAAATCACTAAAGCAATTGAAAAAAAGGCGACCATATATTTGTTCGGTTCTAAGTTCGATACGAATAATGGAATTCACGAAGTCCATATGAATCAGGGTAACATCGGGAACTTTACCCATAGTGATGGAGTCTTTCAGGATGGAGGTCTTCTCATCCAGTACGAGGATCACTGGACTGGCATTTTTATTGCATTTGCCTCCCAGGCAATACACACCGATGATAATACTGGCCATAAAATCCCTGGCAACACTCTGACGTGGGGGGACTTCCTACCCAAGGATATTGAGGAGAATTCGGTGACCATTACGAAAGCGCTCGTCAACCCACGTGAACGGGATGATAGCTCTGCAAGAGACAAGGAGTCAGTGACGCTTGAAAACTTTACAAATCGCCGAGTATCCTTGTCATCATGGACGTTGCGTAACTCCGCTGGTGATGTCCAAGAGCTTCCTCAAAATGCAGTCTTGGCCGCCGGGGAATCCAAGGACTTTGACGTACCCAACTGTCCCCTTGACAATAATGGTGATACAATTACTTTATGCAACAAAGAGGGACTGAGGGTCGATGGAGTGAGCTATCGACGCCGCCAGGGACAGACTGAAGGCCATTCTATTGTTTTTACCCACTGATTTCAGCCAACTTGTAACTACCTCAGGGTGTGTCTACACTCTGCATTTGAGTGAGGCCAAAGACGCAGACCACTAATAAAAGTCGAGCAAACCAGAAAAACACTACTGCTGCCTGGAGTATCGATTTTTGTGTTAGCTCTTTTTGTGCTAAAAGTGTATTTATTGTGTTAAAAGTGGTTTTATTCTAGGTCGATTCTATTCAAGTTACTTTCCGAACATACAAGATGAAAATAGTGCAAGATGTTTTTGGACTAGATATAATACTTATTAATATTAATGACTTCTCTTAGCGAGCCGCTAGCCCCGCCGGCGGGTAAAGTCCGCGACCCTACCCTTCTGCGTGGCCGGAGGTTATATGAGAGCACGCAAGTAGCCAGATGTTAACCGTAGTTCAACAAGAGAGGACCTCATGTAGGTCCATGCTGTCACATTTTGGTCTTCTGGTAAGTATTCCTCAAAGACTCTAGTAAAATCTCTTGTAATCTCTTCCATAGTCTCCTTGAGGTTCCTTATGCATCTTGGAAGTTGATAGTTTCTTCAATATTAGCTGGCATAAAGTACGAGCAACCAATCTTTCTTGTCAGACAATCAGCTTCTGAAGAGACCTTGCACCGAGGATATGCAGCTCAGCTATCTTCGCCTGGATCTCATGGTCTGTTGTCTTTCCCGGTTGACCAAGTTCTGGCAAAACATCCAATGTGGGCATAATGTACTGGCTTGAGACAGCATTATAGACATCCCATGCCTTTGAAGCAAAAATAAATCTTGTCTTCATGTCGAATGTATTTTTCAAAATTTCCTGGTAGAATTTCAATCAAACTAGAACGTATAGAAACAACATCGGAGAGGAAAAGGGCTTGCCATTTAAATCCCCGGATCAACGAAGCTATCCCACCTCTTAAAGCCACTGTAGACCCGCTTGCTCCGCTTTACAGTGTTGCTGATAATTTTGTTCATGTCAAGCAGAAAACGCATGAATGTTCTATCAAGTCGTTGAAGATCTGTCACCCTGTTAATAGACCTTTCCACGATATGTGCGACCCCATCCTGTGGCATTCAAGGTCAGTTTCAGTTTCAATCATCTGGATGATGAAGCAACTGACAATCAACTTTGAGTCTTCACTTAACTGTGCCAATGCTGCTTCAAGGTGGGCTCTAGGCTCTTCGAGTTCGTGAATCTCTTGTTCCCATTTTGCTTGAGCCTGCTCCATGTTCAAAAGATCTGCCTTCAGAGTCACGGAGTGCGCAAAGGCAAGCACGCCAATGGCTACGACCGCAGGGGCCAGGGTGACGCCTTCCAAGACAGTGATAATTAATGCGGGCACGCCACAGCGCGTGACTTTGCGTTCATTTATAGGCCTGGAAGTTTCATAGGAGTAGCCTTGGTAACTCACCTAGTCTCTCAACGTTGCTTTCATACCACTCCTTCTTCTCTCGAACTTTCTGCATTTGCTCCTCTTTCTCCTTCATTATCACCTCTTCTTTTCTTTTCTGGTCTTCTTTCTGCTCTTTCTCCATCTGCTATATTCTTCTCCAGTTTCTATTCCTGTACATACGACCATAGGGTGTGGAAAACAGGGCTTCCCGTCCGCTCAGCCGTACTTAAGCCACACGCCGGTGAGTTAGTAGTTGGGTGGGTGACCACCAGCGAATCCTCACTGTTGTATGTTTTTGATTTTTTTGGACGTTTGTCCCTATGTATCAGATTTTCACCAGCACATACATACATACCTGGATACAAGTAATGTTTCATCAACTGAGAGATGAGTGTTTTATAAAGGCTGGCTTACAGTTCTAGAATGTTGAGAATTTCCCCTGGGGATGTGTTGGCTTCATTCTATCGATTGTCTGGTGATTCATGTAGCTCATCACCACATAAGTTATTGATCGATTAGTACTTTAAGTAGACTTGGCCAGTCTAGGTTGGATCCGGGGGGCGGAAGTAGTTTGGGAACACACAGGTTTTTAGGAGTAGCTGCATTTTTGTCCAAATACCGAGGCTTCTATTCGAACTTCGCCCAGACGGAGTTGGGTCCGTTCTTCGAGGATGTGTGTCGCATGCTAGTAGGAGCTAGTACTAAACTGTATTGACTGAAGAATAAGCCTATGTTGTTTTGAAAAAAGGTAGGATAAGAGTGGAAGGACACGCCAGGGGTTTAGGGGCGTGTAGGATATTCATGTATCCTCCTCCATAACGTACCCGGTAGATAACTAACTAGTGGTGTTTTTAGCATTCAGGCGAATAGGCTGGAGTGATAAAAATGATAAAAAGTACAATCAAAAAGACAAAAAACATACAACAGTGAGGATTCGCTGGTGGTCACCCACCCAACTACTAACTCACCGGCGTGTGGCTTAAGTACGGCTGAGCGGACGGGAAGCCCTGTTTTCCACACCCTATGGTCGTATGTGCTTGAGGTTATGGTGAGAAGAATTATAGTCGGCAATCAAGCAGTGAAATCACAGACATAAAGAATCATCATCGGGATGACTTCGGCCGATTCACCATATAAGACTAGTGGATTTCGTGGCGATAGATGGTTCCTTGCAAGTTTTGCTCTTCAGGTTGAATGAGGGGTTTGGAAGGATTTCAGCCTGCAAAAGGAGTATTCCTTGGCTATATAACAGGCCCACTTCCGAAGTTAAAAGGGCCCTAATTAGAGACCTCGGATGTGGCTGGCAATTCAGCCCGTTGGGCTTTCAGAGACAAGTAATTCCATAAGGACTGAAGAAATTTATATATCGAACGTCTATCCATTATACTGCGAGACGGTCAAGCGTATCGCTTCGTTAGAGTGGGCTCCACGGTGCCCGATGACGTGAAGCTGCAGTGTCCCTTTCCCAGTTCATCCCCTTCGGAGTTGATCGACTCGACCGGCAGGCTAGTGGTCTGACCCCACTTCAATTTTCCCCGGATTGCAACATCTAGGTTCTCATGGGTGGGTGGATGACAGGCGGCACTGATGGCAGCAGAACAAGATGCCGCTAATGGGGCGTTTGACTTGAGTCGCCTGAGTCTCAATATACACAATGTAAGTATCATAACAACCCCGACTAAGACCGAAAAGAGGATCAAAGTAGAGGAGTAGCCTAGACTACTGGTACTCCATAATTCTCGGTCGAGCGCTGTGTATGTAACTTTCTCCAGATAGAAGATTGATTGGGAAATTGTCCAGTGGAGGGTCATGTATAGGAGAAGAACAGGCACGCTGTAGCAGTACGGAATTCTGAGCCAATATGTCGATCGCTGTTGGCTACTCTTGACAGGCCAAGTGACACGGAGCACCTTGCGTTCGATTCCGTAGGAGCTATACTCAGCAGCAGCTAGCATACTAGTCAGTACCGCGTTGTAGCAGTAGTAGCATATTGTAACCGCAAGCTGCGGTATGTTGGCAAATACCACAGATTGTAGCATGCCTTTAACACCAACAACATCGAAGGTGTAATAGTCGCTTTCATCCACATCTGATGAGAAAAGATTCTTAAACTGGCTCGTTGAAATCCATTGCCATCGCTGTCCTGCAAACCGACAAAAAACATAACGATTCTGGTGATCAGGGTTATAAAACATCTAGTGTGATTATTAGCCAACTTTCCCTTGAGAGTCAATAATCAAGAATCTGTGTGAATGAATGTGAGATATACGAAGATAGAGTTGCGATCCAATAAGGATAAAGAATAGTGGAATCTCAACGGCGGCAGACTTTTGTACTGACTGACTGGCTTCGCAAATGTTTTGTTCCCATTTGCAGAATGTCGGTCGATGTAGAAAAGGGTACTGCGGGTGGATATTATCGAAATAGGCCCGTGATAGATTAGCCGAAACACTCGGTGATGGTAGTCGTATTGTTCTATCTGGACGTATATCAGAATGACTCTCTTCTGTGTCTTCAATATTACGTGGTGACGATGATGATTGCTCGCTTTTGAGGCCCATTGTTGCACTGATGATCCTCGAGAATGAGACCGCTGACGAAGGACCGAAATAGTGGGGCTCACCACCTGCGGTATTGAAACACAGCAGGGAAAATTCAGAAGAGAGATGGTCGACTTGCCCAGCGTCATCACTTGGAAGTGATGGTGATGCTGCATTCGTATGTGAAGAACTCGTGTATGCCCCCGGTGAGTCCCGTAATTGGGTGAATGTAAAGCTTCCAACGTCTGGACCGAGGTCACTGGAACAAACGGAGTAATAGGTTCGATGTTCGTGAGCTCATGCTGATCATCTTCTCCTAAAGGTATGTCGGGAAGTGATTCTCGAAGACGGGCTTCCAGATAAACCACGCGCGATTCAAGCGACTGCATGTAGTCAGTCACGCGGGCGATGTAACCCCGTGGCAGGGTCTTCGACCTGACATTCTGCGCCACATCAGTCAAGGCCACCAACCTAAATGAGCAATCAACATACCTTGCTGGTTTCTCAAACAATGATTGCATTTCAGCGTTTGCCCATTGCACTAACCATATGTCAACCTATATGTATTTCTCACTCTTCGTACGACTTTCACCTTCAGTTTCTTGCGCTTACACCCGATACAAGCCAGCATTGTCCGCTCCCCAAGCCTTGGTCTCTTTGGTGCATTTCTCATGATTCAAAGACTTCTTAGACAGTATGTTGATATGTTCGACAGTATCGCGGGGAGATAAAACGGTTGAGATAACGTGACCAATGGCATTTGATCTACCATTTACCCCTCAATCCTTTTTTTTCACTCGAAGTCCGTATAATCTGTATAGCTACATTAATGATGGATTGTCGTGCCTAAGAGGGTTCAGTCCTATCCCCATCTTGTTCTTACAACTACGAAGTGCGGATATTGACAGGTGTTCCCACAGCTCGGGCAATGCGGAACTAGGTCTAATTGAGATTGTCCAATTTGTGGCTAACATGAGGAGTTTCAATTGGCAATTCGGGAGGAACCGAGCATTATTGGCGGGGGCCACCCCCTGATAACATACCGGGAGAATCCGAAGTCCAATGAGTGATAGCGCAAGAGATATGATGCACGCAATCAGAAACCCGAGAGATTACACACGATACCCGAAAGGTTTCAAAAACATACAAGTGCAATTTGGAATCTGAAAACTAATTCGAGAATCTCCCCGCCAATGAAACCATGGCCGATCAGGAAGACGGAAGACATGATGAAATAGTTGGATGAGTTTCTCGGTTGATCAAGTGCGGTAGAGTGAAATGAAGTGCGATAAATTGCGATCCATTGAGGTCAATGAGTCTTCCATTTTAAAGTCTTCGAAGTTCAACTAATGATGCAATGGCTAGGAAATATGGATGAATAACCCTAGAAAACTCGATAAAACCGATCGGAGACACCTGTATAAGGTTGGTTTGTAAGCTTCACTCTACATCTCTTCAACTACATATGCAATTAGTATCTAGGTACCATGATTTAAGATACTAAACCTTGAGTAATTTGATTTAATTATGTTCGCAAGCTAACGTCACACATTTCTCATCGTGGAGTTTGCATCTATAGTAGATAGAAATTACTATGAATTGAAGAACCCCGAGCATCTAGTATACCCTGCCACTATAGGTAGCATTGTTAGCAAAGTGAACATGGCTAACGTTCAAATTTTTGTCATTAAAATATCAAGGTTCAGGGAAAAGCCGAAACCAATAATCATCCAATACCAGACCTATCTTGTTCACCGGTTGAAACTCTCCTTTCTAAAGCATAGTTGGCTTTTCTTGTCGATGAATATTGCGCAAACCCCAATATCATTCTCGGAATATCAAATTAACACCTCTAATATACATTCAAAGTGACCAAGTATAGTGGATCTGTACATCGATCTGACAAACACATCTGAAGCTAACCGCCGGTATTCACTCTAGCACACAGCGGAACGCCACGGAACATTGAATGGTTCCCAGTTTAGCGACTACCATAGTACGAATTCACCGGGCTAGGTCCCTGGGCACTCCCGATAGAAGTCTCAAACTGCAGTCTCCACCACTCGACCAACTCACGGTTTTCCATGAAAGTTGCAAATTGAGTGAGAGCCGTGAATTCATCGTCCCACACGCTTGTAGACTCAGAAGACAAGTCCTTCCGTACCACGTAGCCCCCACTACCCTGCTGGCGCTCGTCGCTAAGCAACCAGCTCATAAACAATTTCGCACTTTCAGGGCGAGGGGTAGAAGCAAAAATAGCACCAGTCTGTGGCCAGAGCAAAGCAGCGTCTTCGGGGGTTTTGCTAGCCAGGTTTTTCGCACCGCTCAAGTTTGTGGTGAAAGACAACGAGCGAGTTGAATTGGTCTCGGCAATGTAGTCAGCAGGTTCGCCAGTTCCCCGAACCCACTGAACGTCCTGCTCGACGATTGATTCAAACCATTCCCAACCATATTTGTCGATGATGACAGAGAAAAGGTAGGTGATAGCGTCGTCGTCATTGGGATACGTCAAACTCAATTTGCTCTTCCACTCTGGGCGGACAAAGTCTCCATAGGAGGATGGGACATTAGACTCGTTCAATAGTCCGGTATTGTAAATGAGATCTCCAAATTGATCTAAAAAGAATAGAGCCAGTTAGCTTAGGAAAGGATTTATGAAGTGGGAAGACATGATCATGTTGCTCACATATAAATGCTCCCACAAAGGCACCATGGGGATCCTTGACCGCGGTATAAACCTCCTCCCATTTCAACGGCTTGTAAGGCAGCAGCCGTCCTTCCCTCTTCCAGCGACCGAAATCGTGGAGCGTCTGCAACACCGCAATGTCTGCGCCGTCGGTTCCATTGCGTTGGAACTGACGATTGACTCGGCTGTCATGATATTTTGAAACATCGACAGTTAGGTTGAGCTTGATTTCGGGGAATCTTGCTTGCCATGCTTCAATGGTCGATACACCCTGGCTTACAGCTTTTCAACAGTGTCAGTAAGAACTCGATCGCAATTTAAGAAAGGTGTTATTACCATCGCCTCCCCAAAGAACAATTAGGTCACCCGTCTCCTTCTTAGCAGCCTCGTAAATTTCGTCCAAAGTTCGATTCTCAATAGCAGGATCATGGCTGGGGTAGGAGTTCCAATTGGGCAGCACGCTGCAGCGACCAAGGTCGGCCAGGCCCAAGAGGCCAAGGATAAGTGATTGTCCAGCGATCTTCATAGCAGCTTCAATCGGGGGATTGAGTTCAAATGTCAAGGAGACTAGGTGAACAAGTGTTGTGATGGCTAATAAGGGCTCTCATAGACATTATATATAACCATGCATGTATGTACAATTGATCTGTAGACGGAATTTTTCCGCGGTTATGTGAAATTAGGGGATTCTAAGTTTATCTGTGTTATTATGAAGCAGGTAATAGGGTGGCAAAATTAAAAAAACCAAGAGGAAATGAGAATAGGGGTGAGCCAAAGTACGGTGTTGTGATAGTCGTTGCTTGGGTGGAGTTTTGAGCCAAGCAACTTGATTTAAAATCTGAGACATTTCAACGTTGTCGTTTTCCGCAGTCTCCAGATTGCTCTTAGTAAGGTAGCCACATAGATTGATAACTACGGAGATAGTGCATGATGACTTGCGAATATCCCTACCTAGTTAGAACAAACCCCTTAATTGAAAATAGCTCAAACTTAGGAATGTCTGTCGATTCAATCCATCATACTCCGTACATGCTTCGCTATCAATAGTTAGCTACACCCTACCTAGGCAAGAGCAGCAAGTTTACAAAGTATTAGTTAGGAAAAGTCCTGGAATTGAAGCATAATCGTATTGTAAGGTCGCTGGATACCAACGGCATTCTTGCATACTACTTACAATTTTCCAAGCCCGAGAACTTCCTTGCGAAGGAAATTAAACTGTCATCCGGCAGATCCTGCCAGTAAATAACGAGAATATGGGTCCGTTTATTCGCTGTGGATACATGTCATTTCGGAAATTTTTCCATCTTACTGTGCAGATTCTGGATTGAGAGCATGCGTCGTTGTGTTCAATCCCAAAAAAGGTATCCGTGAGCATGCTCACTCATTTGAACTTGCAACCGAGTGTACTTTTTATAGAGCTAGCTGCCCAAGAAAACGTGACCAATTTCTCCCAGTCTTCAAATGCACAACCATCCCAGCCAAGAAATGAGGCCGAGTCATCGAATTCCTTCCCCATCTCCATTCCCGAGAGACTTGAAATTTGCGTAAACCCCGGGGGTGAACCGGCGGCTCACGTTTGTAATTTTTCCATCAACCAATACTCATCGTCTCGATTCTCAACTGGTAGACTATCAAGGGACATGATTTTGCTTACAGGCCGATCTGGATAATTCCCGGCTCCGGCGCAAGATCTGCTCCTGCCGTCTGTAGACATCGGCCTGGAGATTTTTGAGATTATCATGATACCGCTCTGCCTGTTGGCTCCTGGTAGAAAGCTTCTTTAGGACCCCCTATTGCGTCTTGGAGCTCTTTTGTTAACTCTACACTGAAACCTTCTTCCATAAATAATGCAAGGCCCACAATAAGCGCTGTGGCAAAGCTCACGGCTCTTGAAATATCAAATTAGTCTTTGTTTACGTTCTTGCTGGGATTACTCACTGTAGTACGATGGTGTATAGCGTTCAATGTCATATGCCTGAATATAATACCTGATGCCTTGTTTTGGCTTGGCAGTAAAATGAAAATAAGTAAATTTCTAATCTATTTTGGGCGGCGGCCTAGTGACAAAGCCACCCCGGGATCTTCTTTTCTATATATCTCCTCTCACATTTTTTCAGATTTCATATATTAACCTATTCTATTAGAAGATTTTACACCTAGTCTTACGGTATCTTTCTAGCTATGACCGTGAAGAAGAATTATATTTAAAGAAAAGACGTTCAACGGAACTTCCAAAAAAGAAAAGAAAGAACCTTTCAGTGTAGCTTCTGGACTTTGATATCAAGAAACATCTCTCTTCTGGCAACTTGGATGAACAGGCACTAGCCATGAAAAACGTCACTATCAATTGAAACTGAGGCAGGGAGGGGAAGCAGACGATGAAAAGGGACAGTGGGAAGCAAGGAATGGGAGCTGGAAGGTAGGAGTTGCACTCCACTACAATCATTATTTAATTTCTTATATATGGTTTTGGATATATGTTTCGGTTTATGGGTTTTACGGGTTACAGGAATGGGCTGGTTTCACACTCTTTACGGTCGACATCTGTACACTCTTTGGGATGCACAGGATGCTTTTGGCAGGAAGTCACAATGTTCAAAGAGGAAGGAATGACTTCAAAAGTTAATTCGCTCCAAGGCTAGCAGAAGTATTCTATTTAGTCTTTCACGCATTTTTCAGATCCAAGTGGAACAGATCTCAGTGCCGTGAAGATGGGGTCAAAATAAGGTCGTCTGCTAAACAACAAGCCGCTAGTCATCGTAGAACGGTGGGGATCAACTCTGAAGGTATTCTCATTTTGATTGGTCAAGATCTATAGCCTCGTCAATTTATCAAACTCATCCATAGTTCAATTGTTACGACTTGACAGTATGGCTAGAACAGCCTCCATTTAGATAGTTGTATCGAGTACTCGCCTCCACGTACTTGGAACATTGTAAGAGCGAATTCAGTATGACCCGTTCTCTCCATAGCTATGTCAATCATGTAGAACAAAGATCTGAAGAAGTTACTCTTCATTATTAGTATTAGTGCTCCAGGTAGAACTCCTCAGCTGCTCACAAGAAGCAAGCAGTAAGTATATATGTACATAGTTCACTATCGGCTTGGCATTCACGTTCCCTGCAAACAAGCCAAACTCTTTCCCCCTCCCCCCCGCAAGCACAATACCTGTGGGCCCGACGGGTCCCCATCTCCACATTCCTTCACTCCACGTAGAACTAACCAGCATTATGGGACACTCTTGCTGCGGAGGCACGTCCTCTCAACAAGATGCGCCTCACAAATCTGAGGTGAAAGAATCCGATACTTTGTCTGCGACTTGTTATGGCGGTGCGCCAACGGAAAAGTCCAATCAGCAGAGCTCTTGCGGGGGCCGTGCTTTCCAAAACAACAAAACAAGTAACAATAGCACTACAGCTTCCTCTACCGAAGTTGAACAGTCCTGGTGCAACAAACCTACGACTTCTTATAAGGGTAAGGCTCGCCCCGAAGATTGCAAGGGAGGCTGCTGCAACGACCAGCCTACTGAGGCTATTGGTGAAAAGGATATCCCTTCTTGTGGTGCTTCTGCTTGCAAGGAAGCTTGTTGTGTAGGAAATCCTACCAGTGAAGCTGGGAAGTCAGACTACAGTGTTTTCTGCTCCAGGACCCCATTGTTCTGCGACCCTGCTACTTCAGTTGAACCTCCTGTGGCAGAGTGCTGCGAGGGCAAGTCTTCGCCCTGCTGTAATGAGACGTGCCTCGACCGCCTGGCTTTACGTGAATGTGATATGGGGTCAAGCATTCATTGCATGGAAGCATGTGGATACTGTATGTTGAAATGGAGTGGCTTATTGTCATATTACTCTACTGACTTTGGGTGCAATGCAGCTTTTTCCTCGACATCTACACCGGCGGATGGCGCAAAGATCAACCGTAGAGCTTGCGACCATCACCACCGTTCGGTTAGAGAGCAGTATGCTGCTAAGCTTTCAGCGCTCGGGTGTATCTGCCGTGCTCTTCTTGCCCTAGGCAAAGAATCATGCTGCGAGCCCCAGAAGCGCGCTTCGCTGGGAAAGGGGTGGTGTTCTGAAAGACCACTGAAACAGTCTTTTTCGCTCAGCTCGGTCGAATCTCGCCACACAAGTGGCATGTCTCCAAGTCGATCGCCGCGTCGAAGTACCGAGCATGGCAGGAAGGACAAAGTTGCACGTGGTATTGAAGGCTGTGCCAGCAGAGGTTGCTCTTCCAAATCATGTTGCAAACCTAATGTTACCACATCCAGTGTCAACTTCACTGATCCCTGTGCCCCCGAAACTGACGAAATAAAAGGTAAGTCTGCAAATGGTTCCTGCGCTGATATTTGCTGTACCTTGAAAAAGCCTACTCTTCCAAAAGACAAAGACAAGAAGAGTGGGGCTTTTAGTATCACCCCCGATCTAGAGGGCCAGGCCACAGGCGTCGAGCACGTGGCTCTTTCGATATCTGGTATGACCTGCACTGGCTGCGAGACGAAACTCAACAGAACCCTCGCGACAGTGACAGGCGTAAAGAACTTGAGGACAAGTCTGGTTCTCTCTCGGGCTGAATTCGACTTGGACCTCAATCTCTCAACTGTGGACTTTATTATGAAGCATCTAGAGCGGACTACAGAATTCAAATGCGAGACCATCACCAGTAATGGGTCAACTATGGATATTGTCGTTTCTGGAGATCCATTTTCGATCGCCAACCAGGCTTGGCCGGAAGGCGTGAGTGACATATCGCTCGTCGAGGGGTGTACTGTTCGTGTTTCTTTTAACCCGGAAGTGGTTGGGGCACGAGATCTCATTGAAAAACACTGGGGCGAGACTGCAAAGCTTGCGTCCACCTGTGCTGACCCAGCACTCGCAGCTGGAAGCAAGCATGTCCGCCTTTCCGGACTCATGACTCTGTTGTCTGCAATCCTCACTATCCCAGTGTTAGTCATGGCATGGGCCCCCATCCCCGACAGAGAAATTGCCTATAGCTCTGCCTCACTAGCTTTGGCTACTGTTATTCAGGTTGTGATAGCAGGGCCGTTTTACCCTAAAGCTTTGAAGGCTCTTCTCTTTTCGCGAGTCATTGAGATGGATCTTCTTATTGTGTTGAGTACCAGTGCGGCATACATCTTCTCTGTTGTGTCTTTCGGCTTTCTCATTTCTGGTAAACCTCTTTTTACTGGCCAGTTCTTCGAGACAAGCACCCTTCTAGTTACGTTGATCATGTTCGGACGATATATCGCCACCCTTGCCCGACAAAAAGCGGTGGAGTCAATCTCTATTCGATCACTTCAAGCTCAGACTGCCCTTCTCGTGGACAAATCAAACTCTTCAGAGGCCAAGGAAATCGATGTTAGGCTACTGCAATATGGAGACACCTTCAAAGTTCTTCCTGATATGAGAATCCCAACCGACGGAACTGTCATATCTGGTTCATCTGAAGTAAACGAGTCAATGCTCACTGGAGAGTCCCGACCTGTTGAAAAGAATCCCAAGTCGCGTGTCATTGGGGGGACAATGAACGGGTCGGGAAGCCTAATTGTCAGGCTAACTCGCCTCCCGGGCGACAACGCCATCAACACCATCGCTGCCATGGTCGATGAAGCCAAGCTTTCTAAACCAAAGATCCAAGAGCTTGCCGACAAGGTGGCTTCATATTTTGTTCCTGTCATTGTTGGCTTGACTATCATCACATTTGTGGTTTGGGTTGCTGTTGGCATAGCAATGCAAGGCAAGACCGGTTCCGAAGCAACCGTTCAGGCTGTCACCTACGCCATCACCGTGCTTATCGTCTCCTGCCCTTGCGCCATTGGACTTGCCGTACCGATGGTGGTTGTAATCTGCAGCGGTATCGCCGCGGAACGAGGAGTGATATTCAAGTCCGCGCATGCTATTGAAGTCGCCCACAAGGCCTCTCACGTGGTCCTTGACAAGACAGGAACCCTGACCCAAGGAAAGCTCGGCGTAGCTGTTGAGCACTACCTTGAAAACGGAGAATCAAGTCTGTCACTTCTTTTAGGCTTGGTTGGCGACAGCAAGCACCCGGTTTCGGTTGCTGTCAATAATCATCTTGCCCACAAGGAAATTGTTGCAACAGCTGTCCCCAACGTCAAAAGCTTGACTGGCCGAGGTGTAGAAGCAAGACTAGGTAGTCAAACGCTGCAAGCTGGGAATTCTCGCTGGCTAGAGCTTTCCGCACATCCCTTGGTGCAGCCGGTTCTCTCGCAAGGCTATACTGCGTTCTGCTTCGCCATCGACGGCGCACTACTTGCGGTATTCGGTCTCGAGGATTCTCTCCGAGCTGATGCAAGGCACGTGGTCAATACTCTACAGAGACGCGGCGTGTCAGTCCATGTGGTATCAGGCGACGACGAAGGTGCTGTGCAGAATGTGGCCACCAAGTTACAAATTCCCGATAGCCATATTCATGCTCGTAGCTCTCCGTCGGACAAGCAGTTATACATCAAAGATCTGCTAAGTAATTGTTCGGACGGTAAAGTGCCAATTGTCATCTTTTGCGGGGATGGCACTAATGACGCCGTGGCGCTCGCCCAGGCAACTATCGGCGTTCATATGAACGAAGGTAGTGACGTTGCCAAATCTGCAGCCGATGTCGTGCTTATGCGTCCGGATCTGTCTGGCCTTGTCACCATGATGGATGCCAGCAAGGTCTCTGTGAGACGTATCAAATTCAACTTCGTTTGGAGCTTCGTGTACAACACATTTGCCGTGCTCCTTGCGGCTGGGGCCTTCGTGAATGCCAGAATTCCGCCCCAGTTTGCGGGGCTGGGAGAGCTAATAAGCGTGCTACCCGTGATCATCGCTGCTGTGCTCTTGCGGTGGTCTAAGATTTAGCTTGTGGGTAAAACAATCGTTTATTTTATCCAGATTATCTTCTCGCAACCGAAGTGATCTTTTTGGTGGGCTAGTGTATCTTTTGATATGCCAGCGTGGCTTTGTGAGTCAATGTACGGAAAGCTGATTGTTTTCAACAAACAATCCTCTGCATCTCTTATGAAATCTAACGTTTTTATTTTCTTTTATATAATTTCTCCGTATTAGTATAAAAATGGGTTCCAATACCGTGTGAGATGAGATGAGAGAAAGGAAGAAGATATGGGAGAAATTGTTCCATTTTATCTTCAGACTCTTCCATTTCTTTTAGCGGTTTTCTATATAAATATGTTCGGTCATAGACACATACAATTAGTTTGTCTTGTAGGTTTTGTTTATCAAACATGGCAATGACAGGTGATATGAAAACTTGTGGCTGGCACTGTCATATGAGTCTGTAGCGTTTGACCAGGTAAGACCGAAGGATATATAGATTTCTGAGACATGGGGATAAAACGCGACCGCATTGTATAGCACTCGCACTGCTATAAATCGCATTTGCCATTGAATATGAACCCCTGGATTTGTTCTTAAGTATGAAGATAAAATACAACTAAATTTCATGGGACTTGTATATTATCGTAGAATGCATTTGTTGCTTAACATTGACCCTTAGATACGTTCTTGGATATAAAGATAAAACGTGACTTGATTGTATAGACCTTACCTTGTTGTAGATCGCGTTTACTGTTCAATATCGACGTTTAGATGTATTCTTAGATATAACGATGAAATGCGATACAACTTTATATCACTGGCACTGTTATAGATCGCATTTAGTGTTCAGCATTGACGCTTCGAATTGTTCTTGAATATAAAATATGAAAATAGCCCAAATATAGATGATACATCACTTTCCATATTTGCTCACCAACTGGCGAATGTAAAGTTGGCTCCCGAAACTCTGGTCACCGCCATCGCCACAAGGTGGCTTGTGTGCTTCTCCTCATCCAACCTCTTTTCCCATAACCACCCAACGCTGCCTGTTACCTATTCACCATATTTTGCTTGAGATATTCCATACCTTCGCATACCCCCCTTTGATTCCCCTATCTGGTTTTGTTACCCCTTCAACCAATGAACCGATCATCGCCGTGAAGAAGACCACACACACACACAACCTCACAGACCGAGCCGCCATGGCGCGACGGTACGAGATCGATGAGCTGATATGGCTCCGCGGCTCGCCCCTTGTCGCAAAACCTCCTGGTCTGCCTCCAATTGAAGAGTGGATGTATGTTGGCTCCAATGATCGCAATTCTTTGGCTGTCCCGCACTGTCAACGTCAAGACTGACCGCAACCTCTAGGCCTCAACCTGACCCAACAACCACACAACGCAAACCCCACGGCACCCGTGATGCCAGTAATCCGACCGAGACTGGCACAAACAGAAGACCTAGCTTTTTTGAAGCCAAACATATCTCTCGGGGGTCCAACTCTGGTATTATTATCTCCCTTTCTATCGATCATCAGACATCCTGATCGATCTGTAATGGATGCACTTGCTAATGTGGACTCTTTATCTTTTTAGAGGACATTGTACTCGGCCCCCGAAAACCGCCTTTGCTTCATCTCGCATTGGCGGCAAAGGCTCGTTTGATCAGACAGACCGACCCGCGGTGCGGCCAAACGATTCGGACGAAACGAAGAACGACCGATTCAACTTCAGAGACAAGTTTTTCAAGGACCGCGATGCCCCGGATAAAGAGTTAGATCGACGAGAGGCCAAGCCAGGGCCACTGACTGCCCGACGTGGGGAAAGAGAGGACTGGAATGCCGGGCGCCCACGTCGCACATTCGGCCCAGATGAGCAGGAGCGCAAGCCCAGGCGAAACGGCGAGTTTGATCGATGGGAAAACAAAGAAGGACCTCGCGATCCCAATGCTGAACGGGTGGCCCGTGACAAAGATGGCCGATTCCCCACTCGGAAAGAAGGACAGCCCCCGCGATCCAAATATGAAGGAAGCTGGTTCCGCGAGGAACAGGCCCAAGAGGGCGCTGACGCCGATGACGATAAAGCGCCGTTGCGCAACCGAGAATGGCGCCAAAACCAGACCCGACACGGTACCGAACGTGAGTGGAACCGTGGCGCCAAATTTGAACAAGAACCTGAATGGCTGGATGCCAATGACCGAGACGAACCACGACGAGCACACACTCAGGAGGACTTTGAACGGTGGAAAGAGCGTATGAAGGCTGGATCTGGATCATCCGCACAACCCCCGGCACACGCTGAGGAGAAGAGAGAAGCACACGTTGAAGAGCAAAAGCCAGAGACCCGCCGTACTGATGGTGAGATTTTCAGCAATTCCGGCGCTCAGTTCATGTCCGACGAGTCGATGGAACGATTCTTCGGACTATTAGGTGATTCGAAGGCTCAGCCTCAGACCCCAGAAGTCAGTACTCCTATCGCTGCCGATCCAGTTGCCAAAAAGGAACCCTCTCCATTTCCTGGGAAGCCTGGAAAGTCATCTCGTTTTGCGGGTCTCTTTAGCCCCATGCCAGAGAGCCCTGCCAGAGAGCCCGAGCCGATGCCTTATTTCAATGCCCCACCCCAGCCCCAGCATTATCAACAGCCGCCTCAGCCGGCGCCTGAGAGTATGCCTTTCCCATCCCACAGTGCGGACCAAGAAGGCTTCCAGCGCATTCTACAGATGCTTGGTGGACAACGCTCGGAGAATTCTACGCCGCACGAAATGGGTCTGCCCCAGCAGCAACGGAATATCTCCATGATGCATGCCGAGCAGCAACATGCCGCCCTATCTCTGTCATCTCCTTCCAGGGAACACCCCCATCGATCTGATTACATGGGCACTGGCCCTGAGAATCCAATGGCCCAAGTTGGCCCCAAGGATCCCCAGGCGCTGGAGAGGGCCCACTTGCTTCGTTTGATGCAGCAAGTCCGAGTCGGTCCACCACCTGCGGGTCATCTACCCCAGCAGTCTCCCAACCCGGGCATTGCCCCTCCCCCAGGTCTGATGCCGGAAGGCATGCCACGTCCTCCGCCAGGACTTTCTTCCCAAAAGACGCCCACTTTCCTCGACGACCCGGCCATTGCCAACATGCAGCGACCAGATAGCGAGCACCTCCGTCGCCGACCTGCAAATGGTCCGCCCATGGGATTCTTTGATGATATGCCGTTCCCTCAGGGTAATCAGGGCCCCATGACCCCGGGTGGTCCTATTACTCCGGGTGGCTCACGGCCTCCTCAGGGCCCGAGTCAGCCTCCTATGCCGCTTCAGCGACCCCCGGGTCTCGAGCATCTACCACCTCCTGGATGGACTGGCCAACCTGTCCCCCAGCAGGGTAATGTACCAAGCCCTATGGGCCCTCCTGGAATATCCAATCCAGGCCGCGGCATGAACCCCAACTTCCCCCCGGCATGCTTCCTATGCCCGGAAACGCGCCTCCTATGAATGAGCGCCAAGGTTTCCCTCGCGGTCTGCCTCCAGGCATGATGCCACCTCCGGGTTACATGAACGGCCCTCCCCCTGGCTTCCCTCCTATGCCACCAAACCCTGAGGCCATGATGGGACTTGGTCCCGGTGGTCAGGGTCCCTTTGGGCCTGGCAACCCTGGCCCACAGGGCCCTCCTCCCTCATCTAGACACCTTCTGGAGATGTTCGGCCAGTCCAACGGCGGTGACGTCCGCGGTGGTATGGTCGGTCCTGGCCAGTTCAGATAAACGGAAGATATTGGAAAATGATTTCTAACGCCTCCTTACATTTTCGCACCATTTACCACTGCCCAGTGACTATTTATGATTATCTACGCTAGCTTGGTGAAGCCGATGTACAGGAGCACGTGATCTCAGGTTTCCATTTTCCCTCCACCCAGATCCCACGGTAACGTCACACTTCCTTTTGAGAGAACAAAATACCCATTTTCTTGTCTTTTTTTCCGTTCCTCGATGTATTTGCTCATGCCTCATGCCATTTGGGCAAAGTGATGCCCGTGTTCAATAACTGCCCCCCTACTCCGCGTTTAAGCCTTTGCTGCGTTGGATTTGGCTTCTCTGGTGTGATTTTGCTGCATCTATTACCGGGCCTTTTCTTTTTCCTCTCCCCTTCATATTTTCCTTGGTGTTCTTGAAATCTCTCAAGAGCGATGTGTCCTTGCTGTGTCTTCTGGTGTTGGATCTGATGAGTATAGTCGTGACGACTATAACTCGGGGTTGGCAATATGTGTCGATAAGGTGGTGGATGGATGGTCTCTTAACTATGACTTTATTGGGTCTCTGTTCTTCGCTGTTTAACCAGTAGACCCATACTTTGTTTCTATAGATACCTGACCAGCCACAATCTATCCACCATTTTTTCAAGACTGGGATCCTTGTAAAATGTTCCATTTTCAAATATGTCTCGGCCCCGGTCTCATGTCAAGTCTAGAACAATTTCTATCTTGCGGCTCCCATATCAATCAAACACGTGACCCTATTGCAGCCCAGAGGTAATACCCCACTACATACATGGATATGTATTACCCTTCCTTGGTTCTGAACAAGATATAATATTGCTCCCTTCTATACCATGGTACATAATTTATTTATTTGCTACAGTGGTTGCAGAGTGTTCCTTTTCTGGTTACGTATCGGCTGGGATCTTCTCCGTCTCGCTCTCGCTCTCTTTGTATCCTTGAGACCCTTTGATAGAACAGGCTTGTATTTGTGGTGGAACTTCATGACCAGATCACCAGTTATTGTGAACTATCGCATATAAAATTTCAATAATTTTAATGGCGATTACAATGTATCTTTTTATAAACACATCGCGGGCAAAAGCTATGGTTGGAATTACCTAGCTTGTACCCCGCATGCCGTGAGCTGATTCGGTGAGGTGAACGCACGTGACAACTCTTGCCCCCATCGATCTATAAAAACGAACTATGGAATGACCTCTAATGCCGGACCATATTTGGAGACCCATAACAATGTGCACTTGTTAATAATAATAATAATAATAATAATAAAACAGATAAAATGTTATTTTGATGTTCTTATTCTAATGTAAAATCATTTGGAAACCCCAACATCGTGAGACTGTCTCGTCAACTCAATTTCCAAGGTAGTTGGACTCCGACAACTCGGCGACTAAGCTTGCATGAACGCAGCTCGCATGAGCGTAGCTCGCATGGATGACGACTAATCGAAGTAAAAATCTCCAAGTCTCCTTCCTGGACATAAGTAACGAGGGGTATAAATCCCATTTGTCTCCAATCTTGTCTCTGTCGTTACCCGACACAGTGCCAACGCCGACACTACCTTGTACACAAAACAGTCCAGGGTTAGGCCAACGAGCATCGAGGGCAAATTCTGAAGCTTCAAGTTATCTCATATTGTAATTCAAACAGCCAAATATACCCCCTGTGTTGATTCCATGCTAACATCCTCGAAACACAGGCAACGCGTTTGGGCCAATCGGTGTGGGTTACTACTCGATCCTTTGAATCAACGATATTGCAACATGTCTTATCCTAAGGTATGATCTCTGAAGTCCTTTTTCCAAGTCAAACATATTGGTTGGCTGGAGACATCCGCGATGTCAAGGCTCGCGTCGCTCGCGAAGGGCATTGTATACTAATTGAATCGCTGAGTAGTCTCACAAGATGGACCCTTCCAACGTCGAGGTGAACCTCACAGTGGGCGAAGATAGGGTTAGTGAATTTCTCGGCGCTTACCTCGTTCGCACGCGCGCTGTCTATTTGTGTCCCAAAAAGCTAATGTTTGACGCTCTCGCGCGTCCACCACTTAGGTCGCTCACATCGAGATCAAACTTGCGTTTCCTCCCCTGCCACCCCCCACCCCCACCCCCGGAGGAAGACCACTTTGACACAGACCCTGCCACTGCATACAACTCTACCGGAGTGAAGCGCAAGCGCGAGACTACCCCAGAAAGTGAGCAGGCAAGTTCAGTTATCGACGCTGTTTACACGGACTACTCGCCTTCTTTTGGCGACTCTCCCCTGTATCGGCTTGGTAGGTTTTCCCCTTTGATCCCATCTTCTTTTTATTCTTAAATAATTGGACGAGAAACTCATCATTCCAAATCTAGGAACTGAGGAAATTGATGACAAGCGTGAGCCTACTCCCGGTGCAATGGCTCCCCTGGATCCCCGGGAGCTACCTGATCCCTCACCCATTACCACTCCCAACACGCGCGTCTGGGAATCTCACCGTCCTTCGAATTTCAACTTCACCATTTACGAGGACCCAGAGGGCCAGGAGACTCCCCATGTCAGCCCTTTGCACGAAAGCTTCAACGGTATCGAAGAGGACAAAGAGAACATCTTTCTCACTTCTTCCGACTATGCTAACTCTGATGAGGAAGAGGAAGACACTCGACCCAACCTCGCTGGACGTGAACCTTCCATCGGACTTCTTGATGCCTTCGGTCTCCCACTCAATCGTGAAATGTCTGATTTCGTCCGACCTACTACCCGCCCAATCTTCGAACGCCACATGCGCCGCGGCCGAGAGGTCCTCCAGACCCTCTGGGTTGACGAGCCACAGGTCCGCGAGGAGCATGATGGTCGGTTGCATAATGACGCTCTGACTGACACCCAGGCTCAGGACATTGTTGAAGAGAGCATCCAACGAGGTCGAGCTAGACTCCGCTCTGACCGTCAGCCTGCTTTGCGTGAGAGTGCCCCCATCCAGGATCCGGCCACCTTTAACAATGTTCGCCGCGTCCTTGATTTCCAGCAGCCCGAGTCTAGTCGCCCCACCACTCCCGAGCTAAACGAGGGTCGCCGCTCTGTCACCCCCGAGGAAACCGAGGAGTCCCAGCAGTCTCAGCTGGAGGAGGAGCAGGATCAGTAATCTGGGGACCTACAGCTTCGTGGTCTGAGATTGTTCGCGATCTGAAACTGTTATGGTCTGAAAGTCTCCACTCAAATTTGTGTTCTTACTTCGAATACGCTTTTACGATTCACGGCATGTATGATTAGTTTATTGATAGCCGATGAATCTGTGCTGTTAGTTTACCAAACAAAAAGTGCTTTCTGCGTAAACATTCTCGTAATACTAGATCTCTTTTTAGATCTCTCTTGAGACATCTTTCTCGATATCTTTCGAGGGGTCTTTTGAGAGGTCTTTTCAGATAGCTATAAATCTCTATGTAAAATAATCAACCGCATACTAATCCGCAATTTTTATAAAACGACCTTTCCATATATGATTCCAGTATAATGAACAAAGCCATCACTTCTCGTATCCTATTTGTATAGCTTAATTAGGCCTATTGGGATATCGGGTAAAATTCATATTGACCAGCTAAAATTTGGCGTCGCTTCTGCTATGCAAATGCACTGAGCATCCTAGAAAAGACTTCCTCCACTAAAATTAAAGACCTGTTTCAGCCATAAGCAGTTCATCTCAAATCCCTCCCGCGACGCACAATTCCATGGTCCATATCTTTCCTGTTTTTGGTGTGTTGTTGTTTTTCATCCTTTTTTTGGTGTCCTTTCGTATGCATCAGGACGGGTAGCCTCCTTTCCTTTCGTTCTCGCTCCACATTTCCTTGCCCATGCTTCTGCTATAATGATACCAGCAAGCTAGCTCTGTTTATTAGAAGGCGCAGCTCAAATGGCCTTTCCTGTGGCAATGGCTCTGGCAGTGGCTTTGGGCGTAGATTTGGACGCGCGGGTGCGCGCGGGATTTGATGCGCCTTGGGCTGCATCTTTGTGTGGTAAGACCCTGAATCCCTTCGTCGGGTCATCAATGACTTCGCCAAACATCTCCAGCAGTTCCTTGAGCGTGCTGCGGTCCATAAGCACATTTTGACTCATAACCTCGCTGATCTGCTTGGCTTTGCGCTTCTGGGTCCTGTCCATCCAATCGTCAATGGACCCTTTGACCATGAAAATGATGCATTCGACATCTCGCTGTTGACCAATCCGCCAAAGACGAAAGAACGCCTATTATTTCACAAGTTAGCTAACACCGGGAGTTTCAATTCTCATTTACAACTTACTTGGTCTTGGACAGGTTCGTTCCACCATAGGTCAACCAGTATGCACTTGTTTGCAACAGAGAAATCAAGACCTAGACCACCTGTCTTAATCGATGAAATCATGATCTTCGTTTCATCGTCACTCCGGAAATTATCCAGATGAATTTCTCGTGACCTATTGGCCATTCGACCCGTAATCTGGTAAAGCCATGTTAGATATGCGCTCTGTTGGTTCATTGTTTTCGAAAAACTTACTTGAGAGCATTTCCAGCCGTTATCTTCACACAAGTACTTCAAAATCCTAGTGCTGTTGACATACTGCGTAAAGATCACGATCTTTGCGGTGCTGTCTTCTTCAAACCACTTTTTGACTTGAGACCTGATTGCATCAAATTTGGCGCCTGGCATAGATCTCCCAAATTCTGCTATCCAGTCTTGTTCTTTGTCAACCTCTTCTTCACAGGGAACATCACCCTCGTCGGGGTTTTCGTCTTCCGCTGTCTTGGTTCTCATGTTCGCTGTTGTCGCTTTCGTCCTCAAATTCGATTAGATTCCCGTCGGCCAATAACCATTCCGAGAAAGTGGAACCACGGCCTGTATCCGTCCGGTGTCTCTTGGATTGGCCTTCCCTTGCTGTACTTGTCTCTGGTGTGGCTGGTCGCGTTTGCTGGCCCTCTTGTCCAAGAGAAGAAGACTTGGCAGCCTCGACTGGAGGTGTGTCAAAGTCATCGTAGATTCCGTAGAATGCAGCCTTTCTGATCGGAATTCTACACACACGGCACGATCGAGCGACGCCATCAGTGTTTCTTTCTTCATCGGGCAGTGCGTCAAAACAGTCTTCGCAGTAAAGGTGTTGACAGTCCGTGATAATAGCCCTTGTTGGGAGCCCCTCACAGCCAGGACAGAACCAGGTGCGATGGTCGCTTTCATAGTATGCTTCTCGTCTCAAGAGATCTTTGATTCTATCCTCGAACTTTGACACAAGCTTTGCGCAATTGCCGGGCGGGCGTGGTCGAAGATTTTCGTTTTGTGCTTCAGATGTTAGAGGAGCTGTAGGCATTCCCGTTCGATATTTCCCTGCAATACAACACTTCGCAAGTTTGCTTGATGGAGACGGGTTTCCCGGGCTTGTTTCATCCTTCACCCAAGCCTTTAACCGTGTAACCAGTGTGGTGTTGAAATTGCACACTCGCTTGAGGTAATCTTCTGCGGTGAGTGGATGACTAGCGAACATCTGTAGCTTTAGGATCATTGTCAAAACACATTTTCTCTGCTTTTTCATTAGAGTCGCTATAGCAATTTTAGTAGTGAATTCAGTTTACTGCAGTCTTGGAGGGCTTCCAAGCTCACAATTGACTTTCTCGAGGAACTTCTCCGCGATTGCGCTGTAGATCTGCTTCTCAGCTGGGTAGAACTCAATCTTAACCTCCTTCAGATTGAATCTTTTGAGCTCAATAAGGGGTCTTCCCATATGACGGCTCTCGTGCGTCTTGCGGTGGATGATGGCTCGAAGCGTATTGATCAACCGATTTTTACCATGGTGCGTCCCCTAAATTGGCAAAATATTGTTAAATGTTAAATCCCTTGAACAAAAGCAAAACTTACATCGCAGTAGTTATGCATGAACACTTCGTAGGGGTGGCTGTTGGGGACATCGATGAATGTAAATAAAGCATAAAGTTCATCAACGGAGCTATGTCGGAGAGTCAGTCCAGAATTCCTTCTCGAATCCATTTCAAACATGGCCTGTGCTCACTTATGCAAAGGTGTTCCGGTTAAAGCCCATTTGAAATTCCCACTTAGAGAACGAACTGCAATCGATGTCCTGGTCATCCTGTTCCTGATGATATGTGCTTCTGTGGGCTATACTTAGTGCCAGTCTCCTTTGGTTTCCATATCCAATAATGATTCACTTACCATCAAGAATGATCCTATGCCAGTGTATTTGATGAAAAACACCTGCTTTCTCGTCATATTCCTGATTCCACCACATTTCGATGGCGGCTTCAGTCTTCATGTCAGGGGGCAACTTTAGATTAGGATAGGAAGAAGATATATCTGAGTACGTTGTCAATCTAGCTATTATTAGTAAGGATGTAGTGTGTCTCTGGTTGGAAGCAGCACTTACACAATGTTGCATTGCCTGAGATAGTGGACGAGGTTATTGGTTTTCACCCGTGCACCAGAGCAATGTGCAATGACGGTCCCGGCTGCTTCAGTGTCACAATGTTGCCGAATCTGCGACATCCTATGACATTCAGTATTAAAGCAGGATATTTAGTCTTCCTGAAGGAGGGGTCGTACCAGGTCTCTATCAAATTTCTCGGGGCGACAATCAGTGTCGGACCTTCTGGCTCAGTTGGCACTTTTCGATTCACAATGCACGCTAGAAATGCTTAGTTCTGTATTCCACCACAGTCTCTTGGCTCGATTTCCCTTACCCAGTGTCGACAGGGTCTTGCCAAAGCCCATCACATCACAGAGTAAACCACTTTTCAGCTTGCTCGAGGAAGTCTCGCGTTTACACTATATCGATCAGTAAATTTGAGGTTCAAAGGAAGAAACCCGAACTCACCATCCAAGAGGCAGCCAATACCTGCTCTAGACGTCAGCCGTTTATTTGGTTAAAGTCAATGTAGAAATGGACACAAACCTGGTTCACCATTAGGGGTGTTACCAGCCCTCTGACCTTCCATTTTCCTTTACCGTCTGACCTTGCTGATGGATTAAATGTCTGTGTCGCTTCATTCAGGATGGATATGTCTCCACGTGCTTCAGCCTGTTCTGCAACTGGGATACTAGCGAGCATCTCTCTGAAAGCCTTCTGCTTGTTTTTCTCCGTAGAGACAAACCCGGGGGGTAAAGGATCCTTTCCGTTTTTGGGACCATCATCGCGTCGGAAAATTCTTTGGATTTCTTCATTCGATAACAACGTGTGTGGACGTCGAGGTTTTTTCCGGTTTCCTCTTGCCTTAGGTGCTTCCTCCGTTTCAGTTTCAGGTTCAGTTTCAGGTTCCTTGGCCTTGGCACGCTTTCCAAGTCCTTCCTTTAAAAGCAACTGAGCAAGGCCAATTTCTTTGGCCTTTTGAATCCCCGCTGTCGATACTCGTGTAACCACTCGCTTTACTCGAGCAGGCTTTTTCAACTCTGACTGAGTTTGCTCTTTGGGCTGAGAGTCTTTGGATTGAGACTGTTCTTTCAAGGCAGGGCGAGAAGAATTATCGCCCTCAGACCCCTCTTCCGATTTTGCTTGTGCAGTCAGATCAAAATGCTTGTCATTCCTAACCTTTCTCCTTCGTTGGAGCTCTTCTTCTCTCCGGTTTTCGAACTCAATCTGCTGTTCGATGGAAGGGGATTGCAGGCTTTGAAATTGTTCCTGGTATTCATTGAATCTAGGTCCGTCAGATTACCATCTCCATGAAGAGGTTCCCTCAACACTTACCCAGAAACATGATCTTCGTCTAGCCCAAGCAACGGATCGCTGGTGCTGGGGGAGATAGATCGTGGGGAATCATAATCCTGTACAAACAAGCTTTCCACAGGGTGGTCAATAATTTCAATCGGTGTCATAGCCGTCTTCTGGCGCTTGTTAATGGCAGTCCATAATTCAGCACGTGGCATCGGACGTTTTTGAGCTGATGGATTGTCGTTATCTTCTGTGAGGTCAATGACGAGACGTCCTTCAAATTGCTGGACATTGTTGAACTCCTGTGGTTCCATTTTGATTCCTGGTTCCAGTTTGATATTTGGTTCTTGTTTGATGGTCAATGGATTGCACCTGTCCCAGGTTTTGATTCCATGGCCGTTCTCATCGAGAAACTCTTTCTTGATCTGTGGCCGGTTTAATCCACCAAAGGTAGATTGATCATTATCCGAACTCTGCAGTGCTAGGTATATTGTGTTTTCAGACATGTATTGGGTCCCCTCGTTGGGTCTGAAAGTGAGATGGTGATCGTTCAGTTTGAGATGGGAATAAGGCATCTCGGGGGCCCTGTTCTTGCGGGTTTCCTTCTCTTTTTCGGAGGACTGCATGTTGACCATGTAAGGATGCAGGAAGGTAAGAGCTAAAGGGTATAAACTGGATTGTAGAGGGCAATGGAGCAAGTAGGGGTGTGAATATGAGAGAGGAGGGATGTTCGGTGGGATGGACAGAAGCCTTTATACCCACCACCACAGAGACGAAGCAACCAGAACGGGATTGCTTAGGATTTGAAAATAATAGAAACAATATGAAGGCACTGACTCATTGTATAGTATTAGGAGTAGAAGAAGGCAGATGTATAGGGTAGAGGTAGAAAGAAAATATGAGTATTCGGTGAGATAGACAGAAGCCTTTTATAATCACCACAGAGACTAAGCAATTAGACGTGGATTATCTAGAGTTTGGAAATAACAGAAACAACATTAGGGCACTAGCCAATTATATAGCACTAGGGGTATAAAAGTGGGAGAGTACAGATAGATAGAGTAAAAGTGAAAATGGAGGATACGAAGTAGGAGAGAGGATGGATGTTCGGTAGGGAGGAAGTAGAAGCCTTTTATAACCACCACTTCTATGGCTTGACATTTAGAAACACGAAGCAATCAGATGCGGATTTTCTCGAGTTTAGTAAGCTGAATAACAGTTTTGGCGAATCGCGTGGTATTAAGGGTATGAAAGTGAGAGAAGACGTACGTATATTCGCTGTGAAGGGCGTAGAAGCTTTTATGACGACCACCCGTAATGAGACGAAGCAATCAGGTGAAAGCCAGTTCGAGCTTGGTTTTGTAATTATAGATGATAGTGTCATAACGGGAATATGAAGGAAGAAGGTATAGTGCGAAGGAAACAAAACCCTCTTATGACCACCACGTCCAGGTTTGAAACCTAGGGAGACGAGGCAACCAAATACAAATTGACTCGGGTTTGGCAGCAACAGAATAAGGGGCCTGGCTAATTTTGTACTATCAGGAGTATGAAAGGGGCAGAAAATGGAGAGATGTATTGTGTGACAGTAGAAAGAAATTATATGGCGGGGAAAAAGGTTATTTGGCCACACCCGCTGGTATATCAAGACTCAAATTTTGCTTGGCACTATAGACGACAATGTGGGAACTAGAATGCGAAGCAGGAGAGATGAAAGATATAGTGTGAAGGGGCCAAAAGCCTTTTATAACCACGGGGTCTAGGAAGACCAAGCAACCAGATGGTAAGTAGGTCGGGTGAGCTGTTTCTATAGAGAATACCATCGCTCCGGCAATGCGGAGGACAGCGGAAGGATGTGTGGTGTGAAGGGCACGAAGGTCGTTTATAATAACCAGCCCCAGGAATCGAAATAGAGAAAGAACCTGAATATCATTCTTAATATAGGGATGAAACTTGAGCTCCGGATCCTATCTTAGAGGTCTATCGTGACGGCCGATTCATTAGGGCTATCGTCACTATCTTCATTGCTCGTACTTTAATCCATATGGTCATGAGATGTCTAGCCTAATTTAACTAGTTTTTGATGTACATTCCTTTCATCTATTTTCGACTTAATAATACACTATTTTAGGATAGTTGTATGATGCTTCTATAAAGAGAACAGTCGCCCGCTTATACAGCCCCTATATCACCTATCTAGTACCTACGTATATCCTTTTAGACCTAAGAACGGATATATAAAAAAATGCGGCATCCCCAGGGCATTAACGCGGGTACCAAAAAAGACAAAGAAAAAGACATCGAACAGACATGTTGAAATATTGCTTTGATAGTACAGCTAAGAAGGATATCGAAGATGATGCAGGTAAGAAGTCTGTCGAATGGTTCTTACATTTCAACTCATAAAATACCTCAATATTATCTTTCCAGTCAACAATCTTGACTCCTTTAAAGTCCATTCACCTTCTAGCCCACACTGTGACCCCCAAAAGCGCCCACTCGATCCCTCATAAATCGTTGGCTGAATAAGGCCAAACATCGTTCCCAACAAACATTGTATCTCTTACCATCTCTGCTTGATCTTCTACGTGATCTTCATAAACCCTATTTGCTCAAGTCCGAAAATATTACTGAAGCATCATATATTTTACACTCGAACTATCTCTTCTCGTCTTCTCGTCTCTCATTCTCGATTTATCTTTCCTACTATACTCTTCCTACACCTAGACACTCTCAACTTATCCCTATTTCCCTTCTTTATTCTTTCAACATCTACTCCATTCCTGCCATTGTCACGGTCTTCGCCGTTCACTTCCTCAATATCTCTCCCTGTACTCAGTTTCCCATCCGTATCTCTCATTTCTTCGTCATATTTCTTAACACCAACTTATATTTTCTCATTGATTCTACGATCTCTGGTTCACTGATCTTCGACTCTCAGATCTCCAACCATCATTCTCTCGCCAACCCCTGCTTCAGTCCACTCAACTCGGCTCTTTTCGTCACCCCTGCTTCAGTCCACTCAACTCGGCTCTTTTCGTCACCCCTGCTCTAAATCCATTCTTCGCATCAACTCGAAATGGATCAACGCATTGAAGAAATCACGAGGCCAGTTGAGGAAGTTCCAAAAGAGCCTCCTAAAAAGGCTCCAAGCGAGCGTTTAAAGGAGGCTCCAAAAGAAACTTCAAGCGAGGCTTCAATTCCTGTCGCCGATATGCAGGTAAAAACTGAGCCAGGGGACCAGGCAACCAGTCCCGCCAAATTCCCACACCTGGAAGTCAGCATCACAAGTGTCAAGCCAAATGAGCAACTCCGCAAGGTTCTTCTCGGTCTGAACAAAGTGCACAACAATGAGGACCCCGAGCCAAATGAGTTACCCAACAATCCCGAGCAAGAATCGCTGGATCAAACAGACTCGGAGGAAAGCTCCGACAACGATCAAGCTTCCGATGAAGATTACGAATCTTCCTCGGATGATGAATCTGATGCTGATGAAGAGGAACCGTCTTCTGATGATGGTTCCGTGTTTGATCCCAAGGAATCGTCGACCAAGCCAACAAAAAAACGGCCCTCAAAAGAGCGACAAAAGAAGGCGAGGAATCCGTTAACCATGAATGAGCAGGTCAAGAGCTTGATGAGCAGCGACATACTGAGCGCTGCAAATGCGAATGCAATCGATATGTACCAAATCCCTGTTTCCCAGAAAAAGGATAAGTCAAAAGCGCTCGCGGAGGAGGTTTCGAAGCTTTCAATTGAGGACCAGCCGCAAGCCAAGAAGGACGCGAACGCACTAATTGAGTACTCTAAGAGGTTCACTCCTTCAGCGAAAATTGTGGATATGAATTGGCAGGTCGGCGGACTCAACACGTTGTTGAAACACCATCAGGTTCGAATCTCTATCAAACCGAATTTATGATATGTGACTAACTATTGAAAAAGCTCAAGGCTGCTGCGTGGATGGTGAGCTTGGTATTTAGGTGTTGTTACATGATGTTTAGCTAACTTAATAGCATGACCGCGAAAACTCAACGGAAGAGCCATATGGAGGCTTGCTCTGCGACGAGATGGGCCTCGGGAAAACACTCACAGTTCTCGGTAAGAACTAAGAATATAAAGCTATGGTATCAGAAAGCTTACATTTTTACAAGCAACTATCGCGCACGAAAAAATCCCACATCGTTCACACGCTCCTACCCTACTCGTTGTTCCAAGAAGCTTGATTGGTCAGTGGTATGTCACACTCCTAGACTCATGAAATAAGACTGTTTTATTAACTTGGCTGTTATAGGATCAGTCAAATTAATGCCCATTGCGTATCAAAGATAAGCGACAGCGTTTTCGAGTATTGCACCGGTTCACAAGCAAGCCAGAGCGATACTGTGAAAGCGATGAAAGCAAAGCGTATTGTGTAAGACAACATTTGAAGCCGGTTACTGTCTGCTTTATGTCTAATGACTGACTTTATAGGATTACCACATATGAGCAAATCTGCAATTCATATCCGAAGTTGAAGCCACCAGTGACGAACAAGTCTCCCGAAGAGCTTGATGTCTTGAAGGAGAAAGAATTCAATCTCAGAGCTGGACCTTTCCATAAGGTTGAGTGGCACCGGATCGTCCTTGATGGTATGTACGTTGGCGTTGCTATAACATATCCACATTGATACTAATCCAACCTTGTAGAAGCTCATGCAATCAAGAACAAAGATTCCGCAACCTCTATCGCTGTCCGAGCCTTGAAAGGCAAATTCAAATGGGCCATGAGCGGAACACCTTTACACAAGTAAGCATCAGCTACTGTGGGTTTGAAATGACTGGAATCATGTGTACTAACTATATGTTCCAGCGGCGCGGAAGAACTGTACCCATATCTTCATTTCATCTTTACCTCGGGAAGAATGGAGTATGAGACTTTCTTGAAGAGGTATTCCAATGTTAGTATCATGAAGCCTTTACTTCAAAATCTGAAACTAACCTTTCACTAAGGGGTTGGACAACATCCTGGAAACCGTGCTACACCGCAGCACATACAGTACGCGGCTTCTTGGCAAGCCGATCGTCACACTTCCAGGATTCAACAGCCGAGTCGTGGAGGTCGAGCTTTGCGCAGCTGAAAGACTGCTTTACAGGGAAATCCAGGACCTCGGTATCGCGATGATCGAGGGTAAGCTTGGCAATTCTAGTGATGAGCAACGCGCTAACACAACCTATCAGGTACGGCTGATACAAAACAAAAACAAAGCAGATGCATCTTCGCCGTTATAACAATGCTGAGAATGTTTGTGAGCCACCCGCTCCTCATTCAAAAGTCTCTCGAGGCCGTTCTCAACACAGGTGTCATTGAAGGGCTCAAAGATATGGCACAACTGGAAGGTGTGACCGAGACCACATCTGGAATCATTATCGACTTGATTCTCGCTCTGGCAAACAAGATCGCTTCCCGGCCAAGGCTTCCAGGAAATTTTTCCGAGCTTCGGGACATATATTACAAAACCATCGTCCACATCCGTCTACACGAGGGGAAGTATCAGGAATTTCTACGCAGGCAATGCCCTCGTTGCGAAGAAGTTGTCACAGAAGATAAGTCATTTGTTGTCACGTCCTGTCAACACCTTTACTGTAAAGGATGTTTTGATCAACTTCCCGACCCAAACGGAAAAATCGATACTATCCCCCGAGTCTGCACCTCCTGCCAGAACCCCATCGAGGAGGCCGGATATTCCGATGATGCGCCAGAGAACTCACCAAAGAAAGGCACACCAAAGAAAAGAAAGCAGTCAAAGCCAAAGCCAAAGGGCAAAAAGATTTTTGACAGCCGAACTCCAAAGTTCTTCAAACAAAAGTACCTACGCAAAGATCTATCAGATGATGATTGGGGTGAGCCCAGTGATGATGAGGATGATTGGATTTCGCGGGTTGGCGATAGCATGCCATCCGCGAAAACCACAGCGGTTCGAGAACTCGTCACAAACTGGGTGAAAGAGGATGAGGACGTCAAGATCGTGATCTTCGTTCAGTTCCTGAAGACTGTCCGGCTTCTTCAGTACATGTGTGAGGAAGAGGGCTGGAAATACACAGTTGTACGTCCAAGGTTGGGAAAAGGCAACAAGTCATAATAACTAACAACATCCATACAGATTACAGGCAGGGTATCTCCCATCTCGCGTGATAAGCAAATCGAGCAATTCGGCGAGGAGAAGGACATCAAGATCATGATTTCTTCCCTGAGGACTGGTGGCGTCGGTCTCAATCTGACTATGGCTAACAAGTGCATCCTCGTGGATCCTTGGTGGAATGAAGCAATCCAGGACCAGGTAAGGGAGCCAGAATTCAGATCACAGAAGGGTTGAAAGGTCAATAGCAAGCTGACAATGAATTTTCTAGGCGTACTGTCGGCTGTACCGCATCGGACAACTGCGCGTTGTGGAATCGGTCCAGGTTGTGGCCAAAGGATCCATTGACGACTATATGATCGAGTTGCAGAAAAGGAAGACCCGGAATATCCGTCAAGTGTTCAGTGCAGAGGCGCTCAAGGAGATCCTTGGTCTCTCTGGGGAAATCTGTGAAAAGCCAAACGGTGGATTTTCCATTTTCAACAACAAGGGAAACAAGCATGCCAACGCTTGGGTCCGGGTTGTCGAATCGGGGGTCCTTAACGAGGCGGAATCTTCGGAAGAAGACTAAAGAGGCTGGTTACTAGGCGAAGAAGAAAAGAGAAGAAAATATAAAAAAAAAAAAAAAATGAAAAGGAGGAAAGGAGCAGAGCGGAGGATTTGAGCAGTGGCTTATTTCAGCTTCGGCTGCGAAGGGCATTTTATTCTTATTGCACTGCCCATGGTGTTTCCTGGGCAGGCATGTACACACTCGTTTACAATCATTTGACTTCAGACAAGTGACCCTGCTTTTTAGTCGATGGTCTAAATTATAAAAGACTTGGAAACGTATAAATAAAAGAGGAAAAATCATCCATATTATTCAGAGCCCTAACCAAAAGTGGTCGGGTGAATATAATACATCATGTAATAAATACTCGAAATCAAGAATCGTCAAGCATAGTCCACGATGTCCAATTGTATGGCCAAAATCCTCACAACATAACATTGACATGAGACATGAACAAGCACCACCGATTGATTACTTTAAAAATTATAGAAAGGAAAAGCGAAAGGCGCGGGAAGTGTGTAAGCTCCGGGAACCAATCTTAGATGGACAAATATAACAAAATGCCCGAGTTAGAGCCAGCCAGTCAAGTGGACTAGCCAGCTGGGTATCACAGAAGAAACCAGGTCGGCAATGGCATGTCTGTATACAAGGCGTATGAACAGGATGCATGCGCCGGCCGGTGAGACAGAACATTGACTAGACATTCGAACGAGAACTACATCAAGATCGAGCAGGGAGAGAGGGCGTTTAGTAGTCAATCTTCTCCTCGTAGATGGGGGGCTGTCCCTTCTCCTCGTTCCATTGGATCTTGCATTTCTCGTCGAGATAGGCATCCTCGTCCGTGATGGGGATGACGCGCGAGGTGTGCGCGACTTCCTGGGAGCTGACTCCGAGGGCGTCGCGGGGAATCCAGAGAAGAGGAGGCTGCGAGGTGATGGCGGGGTGGCAGTAGGCGTCACGCTCGACTTCAGCGGGGTAAACTGGGATCTCCGAGGGCTTGGGAACCAGCTTGCGCAGCTGGTGGTAGTTGTGGTACAGGTCCGGACGCAGGAACTTGGTGAACATGTTCGGCTTAGGCGCCGAGGACGAAGTATCAGTGAGACCCTTCTCGGCAGAGTCGACGCTGCCGAGGCCATTGTCCACGTTGGCGACGCCGCTGTCGCGGGGGGCCGAGATGGAGCCGCTGGCGCCGTTCAGGTCGTCATCCTTCGACTTCTCGTTCAAGGTACTGACGTTGCCTTTCTCCGCGGCGAGCAGACTCTCCTCCTCGGCCTCGAGGTTCTTGGGCAAGTAGTTGAGGAGGGGCTCCATGGCGGTGTTCATCGAGATGTGGAACAGGATGACAAAGATCAACAAGATGATCATCAGGATAAGGGGACCGAGAGCCATTCTGTTGGCACCGGTGCCAATGGCGAACAGGCCAATCAGACAAACCATGGACAGATAGCAGCCGACAGTGAGCTGCTGCAGACCACGGGTGTAGGACCGGCCCTGGGTGTCAATAGTTGCGTTCGATACGTACAACAGGTTGTACCGGAAGGCGAAATAGAACAGGTAGAGACCAATGGTACCGAAGCCCATGACAAGCGGCGCAATGCAGGAGTAGACAATTGCTATAACGAAAGTAAGTATCGTAATCAAAATACACCAATTAGGGGGGGTTAACATACCAACGACGGTCAACAATGTGAAGGCAGGGTAAACAGTGCCCCATCCGAGACCAGCCAAGCTTGACCAACGAGTGTACATCTTGCGAGGGGTGCTATCGAGCAATCTGCCCAGGATCTTGCCGAGGATGAGGCCAGCAATCTGGAGAAGAGCACCGGCGCTGAACGACAATCCCTGCAAAATGATGTAGGAGATGTAGAAATTGGATGCGGTAGGGATCTTCTGGGCTAGCAGCGAAGCAGCTGAGGATGGGTTGTCCATGATAGATTTAACGACACTGGTGGCGGATGAGGCAACAGTCACCACCAGGAAGACCTGAACAACTTGGAAAGCGAAGTACCAATTCTGGACGGTCAGTTCAACGGCAGCGAGACTAGGAGCGCCACCCAACTTCGCCATCAGGCGAAGGATGATAGGGACCAGCGCCATCAGGACAGCCATCATGACAGTGGGCAAAAGACCGGTAATAACACCCTTAATCCAGGACGGAACACTGTCGATGAACTTCAGGAAAGGAACGATCTTGGTCAAAGAGTCAATGTTGGAAATAGCACCAACCACGGCAGTGGGAATGGCCCAGAAGACGATCATAGCACAAACGAAAGCAAGGGTGGCAGCGTAGCGACCGAGACGTTCCCACCACTTGATGCGGAGGTTGGACCAGATAACCTGAGTAGGGTCTAAACCAATGTAGCGAGGGCTCATGTGCAGAGGGAGGTTGTGGGCGACAGACTGGAAAGCAGACTGGGCATCAGCCTGATTGTAGAACTCGACAAAGACGGAGGCGACCAGCTTGGTTTCACCAGCGCGGTGCTTGGCCTGCAATTCCTCGATTTCGGGAGAGAGACGCGCGATTTCCGAACGGGCCCAGTTGATAGTATCAACCTTCTCGCCAATGAGCATCTTGAGACGGTGGGTGGGACGTTTCTTAGCCTCCACCCAGCGAGCAGCAACGGAGCCAGACTCATCATCAAACTGGCCATTGCCAATGTCAGTCTCGGGGTTCTCAGCCGAGCCCTGCTTCTTCAGGGCCTTAGCGCGCGCCTTGTTAGCAAGCACAATGAGCTTAGTCTCCGCACCCTCGAGCTTCATGGCAGCAGCGTCACGCTCCTTGACTTTCTCCTCGAGCTCCTTGGTATCGGTTGCGATCCAGACATTCTTGACCTTGTCGCGGCCGAACATGGTGCGAAGCTTGTCCTTATTCAAGAGGTCCTGGGTAACGGTCGTGAACAAAACGGTGCGAGAGGAGAGGCGGCTAGCGTAGGCGGGCGAGAAAAGGTACGCCTGGCGCAGGTTAATATAGAAGAGGTGCTCGCGGGTGATCATGAAGAAGATGAAGCCGACAAAGATCCAGGCGAGGAAGCAATGGGCGTAGTAACGACCGTATTGAGTATCGGCAATATTCGAGATGCTCAGCTTGTTGAGTTGGATCTTTCCACCACCACCAGTGGCATTGACAGGCCACAAGATGGGGAAAGTGATACAGCAACCGACGAACAAGATGACGGAGCACAATTTGAGGAAACGAAGCATGAGGTAGGCATCCATCGAGTGATGCTGCAGGACGTAGGTGTCGGGTAGCTGGTACATGGCCTTGATCCAGTTCCAGCTTCCGGTCGGAGTCTCGGGGGAGCGCTGCCAGGGACGAAGGTATCCAATGTAGGTTCGGGGCATATACATTCTGCGATTGCTCTTACGCAGGATGATGAAGAGCAACACCATCACAACGAAGGAGATGAGGGCGGGGATTAGGGTGGTGAGCAGGCCAGACAGGGACGGCGTGGTGTCCTGCGGGTTATCGCTCTAGTATCGTTAGTAAAGATCCAGCTACCTTAGGTGTGCGACAGGGCTTACCGAGTCCCTGGCAACCAGCCAGTGGACGGCGTCGTTGGCCATTCTGAAGGTATTCGCAATGGGTATATTCAAAATGTCCAAAAAACACAATTCAAATTCAAATTCACGTGTGTGAAGGATCGGGGGGAAGGGAGAGGGGGGGAGGGGGTTAAGTCTCCCCAGGTATGAGGAAAAATAAAAAAGATAAGGGAAAAAAAAGAGAAAGAGAGAGAGAGAAGCTTAAAGTTTAGTAAGGACCCATGGAACCCATGGACAACAGGGAGGAGAGGGGCTAGGATCTTCGATCTGTCTACGTAATTGGAGCACCTTCGATAATGTTTTCGTGTTATTTGGGGATATTTTCCTATTTTGGAATTTTTCATTTTTTAATTTTTGTTTTTCTTTCTGTTTTGCTCATTTTTCCTATTTTTTTTCTCTTTTTTTCTCCTGCAATTGAACTTAAATATCACAATCTAGCGTTGGCCAATCCATGGGTGGCAAGTGGGCAATCCAGACTTTTGTCCGCTGTGGTTGAGATATGACCCAAAGATCCATCCATGTTCGTCGCAATCAATGATCCATCCACGGGTGGCCCCATGGCTCTTATTCAATCACATGGAATGAATTTCTCTTTTCTTTTTTAATATACCGAGTACGGAGTAAAAAAATTGGATTTTCACACCCGATCCAATTTTTCCAGCCTTCGACACGGACATCTCCGCCACACAACCCCAGCCACATCTACCCTGTACAACCGAAATGAGCTACCGTAGCTACTTAGCTACTTTACCCGACGATCATGACGCTCAATTGACAAGGATGTTAATTAATTCGAATTGTGCAAGGGATGCTGGGAGACAAAAACAAACTTCTTGGAATACTTTGTAGGTACGGAGTACTCCGTACAGAATCCTCGGTCGCACATATTCGAAATTTAGGAAAGTCCCAGGGAATTTATCTTTCGGGCCTTGGAGAATCCAGGGGTATGTAAATTGTGTCTCCACAGGTCAATATCGGAGTCCAGGAAGATGTGAGGTTTGTTCGATGCTTTTTTTTTATTGCTCTTACAATTGCTATTGCTTTTTTCTTTTACTTTCTACTTTGTCAGTGGACTATTAACTTCATTGCGGTCGTGTCATTGCATGCCTATTCCCACTACGGAGTAAGTCATGAGGTGATCGTCAAATGATAATTTCATACCAAACACGGAGTACCTGAGCTGGGTCCAATAACTCCCGTAGATCGGGATTTGTCGCCACACAGAGCGCTAAGGCTAGCTAGTGGGCTACACTATTGACCCGAATCTGTGTGTTCGGTGGGGCTAATATTTGCATGAAACCCCCTTCGCGAGTCCATCAGTGTTGTACTCCGTAGGTAAAGTTACCGAGCCCTAAGACGACCATGACATTCTCACAACTTGAAACCTTAGCTGCGCCCCCAAACAACAGGGGCTGCATTTATTACTCCGTATACGTCAATGAAAAAAAAAAAAATCTATGTAACATTCTGGATTCTACCTA